CAGGTGACCAAGAAGGACCTTCGGAAGGAAAGCGCCAGCTGAGTTAAGACCCCCAAGGTGCGGTGATGGGTTTCGGGTTTAGGTTTTAAGGGTTTTAAGGTTTAGGGTTTACGGTTGAGGGTTTAGGGTTTAGGGTTTAGGGTTTAGTGTGCAGCTCTCAGGCTTGAGGTTTGGGGGCGAGGGGGAGGGGGGGGCTTAGGATTTTGTGATTTATCTGGGACACAGGGTTTAGGGTTTAGGATTGAGGATTTAGGGTTTAGAGTGGCTGACGGTGTATACAGTTCCGACACGAGCCTGAAAGCATCTAAAGACCATCGCACGCACATGCACACCCATTGGTGGAAACATCAGATGCTTCTCCCCTATGATTTGAACTGCGAAGCTGAACCCGACACCCTTGAGACTTGGGTTCCCCCAGCAGTATAAGCCCACTTCTTCGCAGGGTCTCTTCCACCATTCCCCAGCTCCTGGGGGTCCGAATGACAGTTTAGGTCGGGGGATTAACGGTCAAAAGGGGGTCTCTGTAAGTCTCCGAAGTCCTGAGCCTTTGGAGGTTTTGTTTGCTGGGTTTTTTTGCTGGTGCCATCTTCCGCTTCGTGATTCTGAGCGGACCAGTCTGCGGACCTGCTGCTCAGGCGCAGGAGACTCTGCGCTTGGCCCTGGACGTCTTGGAGGTCTTGGCTCCAGCTTTTCGGGTTGAAGAGTTTTGGGGGGGGCTTGGTGTATGTTAGGAGAGCGTTAGGGTATGTTCGGCATCTTTGGGTGTTGACACCTAGAGAAAGGCTTGAAAAGGCTTTTGAAGACTTCAAGGAGAGATCGGGGTGTAGGTGCGAAGCACCGGCCAATTGCAGACAAATGCTGCGAGAAGCTCATTCCCAAGGCCTCCGACAGTGAAGCCCAAAAAAGCCCCAAAGTGTTCCGCCATAGGAACATAGGGATTCCTGCAAGGTGCAAGTACATTAGGGGCCCTATACCAAAGAAAGGGTTCTAGATGATGGTATTTCCGAAACCCCCGAACCGGTAATTTGCCAGGCCGCCGAAGCTTCCAGCGAGGTGTGAGAGGGCCAACGTGCCGGCCCCAAACTTAGAAACTTAGATTGGGATGTTCCCCCTTATATAGCAGTCCTGAGCAGGGATTCTAAGGGGAGGGGGGGGGGGGGGGGGTACTAAACTCCTTATTGAGGACTGGTAGTAGCGTCAGAGGGAACATCCCAACCCCTAAACCCTAAACTTCTAAAACCCCTAAACTCCTCCTTCCACCAACAAAAGGCGGGGCCGCGCCCATGGCAGCGACAAGCAAGCGAAAACTTAGAGGAGATCCAACGGGGCCACAAGCTAACGGTCCTGAACATGGTTTTCGCTTCGCCATTGACACCTTTCCTTCTCGGGGTCGCAGGTCATCGTACTTAAGGCCGCCTTAAGGTGGAGTCCCAAGTGCACACAGACAGAGGCCATTTAAGCTCAAGAAACAGCACCACGGGACCAAGCCTTTTATCGTTGAGATGGGGTGGTCGATGATGCTATCTCGCTTCTTGGCTTTCTGCGCTCTGGCGGCTGCCGAAACCTGCCTGAACGGCACGGAGTGCGAGGAGGCGAACTTGCTGAGCTATGCTGCGGAGGAGGAGTGGAAGCAAAGAAAAGCAAGGAGGCATCCAACTTGCGGCCTTGCAAGCGAAACCCTGACTCTGACTCACAGAACTCGCCCAATCTCTTTGGGTTGAAGCGCCAATTCCCAACTCTCAACGAATAGGGGCATTTGAAGGAAGGACCCCTCATGTGGCCCTGAATCATCACATTAGTCGTGATCATGCTTTTGGCGTCCCATCAATTCAAGAAGCACCCACGTCAACGTCATCAGAAGCAACAAGGTGTCGCCCTAGAAATGGGGGAGCCCCCACATCCCCATGCTGCGCCGAGCATCACTTAGACCATCTCGGGGGAATATTTCGGAGCACCACTTTTCAAAGACCCCCCCGAGCTCTCCAGGACTTTCCTTGGGCTCGAAAGCGGAAATTTCGAGGTCATCCCCACTCCGGCTACCGATCCTGCAACTTACTGGTGCTTAAGGGAGAGTGGAAGAGTGAAACCCTATAGTAGTCCCTATATAATCCCTTTATAAGAGTCCCTATATTCACTCTTCCACTCTCCCTTAAGCACCAGTAAGGCAAGCGTGCTGAGGGGCCCAGCTTGGCCGAGGGACCAGTGGCTTGGTCGAGCCGGAATTTGTTTTCCTTCAAAGATGGGCAATCAAAAAGAGCTTCCAACGAAAGCCCCGCGTCGACTTTCTCCCAAAGGCCCTACACCCTGAAACCGCACGGATGATCCTACTAGGAATGTTTTAGGGGAAGGGTTGGCAGATCTTCCTACTAGGAATGTTTTAGGGGAGGGGTTGGCAGATCTTCCTTGGCGAGATCTTGCACTTTTTGTTTGCGCGCAGTCGCAGTTCCGCACGTACTAACTACAAAGACCCACTGAGCTCAGGGAAGGGATGGCTAGCGCGGACTTCCTGTCTCTTCTTGAAGATAGAGCTTTAAAGTGGAGCCCTGTAAGGTGCCTTGCACCTATTCCAAGACCTATGCCTATCCGGCCTCGGTGGTGCAACAAGATTCCGGAGGAGTGGCGCAGATGGAGAGTCGATGCGACAATGCTGGGGAGGACTATGTGAATAATCCGTGTGATGCGGGGGGCTCAGGCTACTCCATGGGTTTCCTCAGAGTCGATTAAACCCTAAACCCTAAACCCTAAACCCTAGAAACCGTAAACCCGAAACCTGCTTGAGAGAGCGGCGTCGCCGAGGCCACCTGCATTATCAACTCCAACTCGCAAGGATATGACTACATCAAGTGGGATGCCATCAAGGCCTGCCCTTACCCGGCAGGCGCCACGGAACTTCCCATCGTAACGACGCAGGATCAGTGTATGCAGCTCTATGACAACTTCACTGCGCTGGGTGAGGCTGTGGATATCACTTGGAACGGCGAGGTCTACAAGACGGGAATCGGCCATGGAGCACTGATTCTTAGGGATACTTGGAAATAGTTTTTTTTAAAAAAATTATTTTGGGTACTATAATTCCGAAGAAGCCGCTAATATTGTGATTTTTGCTAGGGTTCCAAGTTCAGCGTAGGATTGGTGTGCGTGGGAACTGCCTCACCATCCGCTACAACGGCAAGAACGCCGTGATCTTTCAGGTGGACATACGGTCGTGGTCCCTGGAAACTCGGTAGCCCAGCGGTACCCTTTTCCCTTTTTTTTGGGGGGTCAAGGTTCCCTTGTAAAGTAACCCAAAAAAGGGTGCCCTTATGATAATAGGGTTACTGGGCTGCTAAGGAAATCACACAGGCCACCTACCTCTACCTCACAGACAACGAGAATCCCGGCGGCTTTTGCTGGATCCCTGAGGTCGAGATTGTGAACTGCTTGGATATCCCGGGGATGCCCACCAGCCTGTAGATTGGAGGTTCATCTGGGTAGTTCTGAGTGGGGCCATAAGTGGGATAATTGTAGTTATAAGTCATAAGTGATTATAACCGTATTTGGGCGGGGGGGGGGGGGTACTTATAATATAAGCCTATACTTAGAACTACCCATGAGCCTTCAAGTTAGATTGCCTGAGACACGGGCTTTCTTTTGAACCGGCCTGGCCGCCTGTAAAGCTTAAGGTGTTGTCGGTTGACCCACATTGGGTCAAAACCCTTGGTGGGGATTGAGCCCGTCAGTTTGACCCAGATGCTGGATCGTGTAAGAACGCCCAAAGTGGCGATTCTGAGAGAAGATTAAGCAGTGCTGTGCCTCTGGATGTGGAACCTTCGTGGGCTTCGGTTGAGGACCTATACAGATCAGAGTGCTTTTTTCTCAGCAGCTTGCTGGTCTCGCATCGAAGCTAATTTGAAGCTAACTGGGCTTGATGGATTGATTTAGGCTCAGGTTCTCCGTCCCATTAGGAAACTGCAGCTCCTCAATGAAAACCCTAAACCCTCAAACCTAAGCCCTACAAAAACCCTGAACCCTAAACTAGAGGCTTAGGCCTCCGCGCCGCCTCGGCAGCCGGGGCGGCCCAATGCGGGGTGCAGCTCCCGGTACGTCCTGTGAGGTTCAGAAGGCAGGGAGGGCTTCAAAGGGGGGGTCGCAGAAGGTGGTCTTGGAGGGGTTTTCAGGGGGGGTTTCAAGGGGCCCTTACGGCGTCCGTGCCAGAAAGGTGTGTGTTGATGTTTTCGTGTTTTTTTGGCGCGGTCTCTGGGGTGGGGGAAGGGTTGGGAAGGGGGGAAGGATCTGCTTGTTCCACCGGAACCATATATGACTCGTGTGAGACTGTACACCAAGAGCAAATCAATGATCGCTTTGTTGCCCGCACCTTGGAACCTCAAGCCGTAGACCCACACGGCGTCATCCCAACCTCAATCCTCCAAGGCCCACAACGCACGTGAAGCCCATGTCCCCTAAACTCTAGAGCTCCGAGGCCTTCCCACGAACACAACGAGTGCGTTCCGAGAAAAAAACTTCCAGGCCCAGTTCCGAAGTCAGTATAAATGCAATACCCGTGCAGAGCTTCGGGAACCTTCGGATCGATGAGTCTAAGAGGGTGGCTCCATCTAGCGTATGGACGGACATGGGCGCCACCTGCGCAGTGTTTCGATTCATGTCTGAGTGTTGTTTTCAATTCCTTCTATGAGCGAATCGTGCCGCATATCTCGCTTTGGCTGACGACAGGTTGTGTGCAAGTACGGCATCTCACTGGCGGCTTTGCGACATGCCTGTCCCTCAGAGCTCGCCAGGCTGCTATATGCTGCATCCATGCAGTTCTGGATGTGAAGTGTGAAAATACCCTCCTCCCCAAAGAGCCAAAGGTCCTCAGAATCCTGCGCAGAAATCCAGAAATCACAGAAGTCGACAGGAGCGCCCAGTGCGGCTTCAGGGTGAGCTTGTGACCTGCTTGCGCTCTTTCGGTGGCAGAGGCAAGGCAACGTCCTTGCTAAGCATTCGGGGGCCAGCACATTTCAAGAGGCCGGTAAGGTTTCGAGCCGAGGCTGATGGAGGGCATGTGCGGCTTCTTGAATTTGAGGCGCGCAGTGCCGATGAACATCTCGAGGGTCTCGACAGCTATGTCCTTCGAACTCTTGTGTAGCAACCCTAATCGGAGCGCGACATAAAGGAATTCCCTAAACCCTAAACCCTAAACCCTAAACCCTAAAGAATTGTAGCCATGACAAGCAAAACCCTCAGGGATCCACATGGCCTCCACTGCTCGGGCTCGGTGCTGCGGGCAGACAGAGGCCCCCGGATTTTTGCCATGTTTTGCCTTCGCGTGAGAACTCACCGGCCATGCGGCATGCGTGTATGTATGTGTGTATATGTATATGTATATATAGATAGAGAGAGATTGGTTTACTTGTAGATGCGTAGAAATACAGTCCCATACACATACACATACAAAAGCACCTACGTACCTACCTCTGCAGGGACAGACAGGCACGCACGCACGCACGCACGCACGCAGAAAACTCATTCACTTCACCTCCAAAGAAACACACCTAACTGTTACCAAAGGCTTGTTACCAAAGGCTTGGGTTCTACATCCAAGTTCTCAGGGTCTTGTGTCCCAACCTTACAGACGCTTCCTTGCTTCGTTCATGCGTTCACACGCTAATGTTAATATTCATGCGTGAACTTGCAACAACATTAATGTGCTCTCGTATTCTCTTCACACTTCGAGTCACACCATAAGACCCTTGAACCATGAGCTCACATCCCCCTTAACTCTGAGACCCTAAGTCTCATATCTTGGTTCCTGAGAGCTCCTGTAAACCTAAAGAACTGAACAAGGAACCCAACACAGAAACCGTACCATTCAGCTCTCTCACTCTTGTATCTGTTCTTCACCCATCACACCTTGAGACCCTAACACACCACTTATTCTTTTACTTTCATATCTTTTCCTAATCCTTTCTATAATCTCAGAATTTGGAGGTGGCACCTTCAATTGCAGGAAAATGTCATTTTGGGACTATTAGTCTCTGTGATATCTGCATGTCTTACATCTCTGAACTTGTGGACAACAATTCCAAATCTGAGATCTTATTACCTGACATTAAAGACCATCCCATTATTTCCTTGTGCTTTCTTGATTACAGCTTTCAGATGCTTTTCTTAACATTACGAACCTTATCTGGTACACTTCTTTTAATATTGGGTGATCTTCATTCGAATACACTTTTCTTTGAACCTATATTTGGAGGAGATCCTATATTCTATCATTTGGGTTCATTTCCATAATGATTTCTGGGTTTTTTCATAAACACACATACAATCCCACATTTGTACATATATATGGTTAGATACGTGTATATGTATTTACACACCTACATGTAAATGCGCACGCCAATGCACGCTGATCTAGCTGCTCTACCTTATCTCCTCGTTAAATCTTGAGCTTGTGGCGACGACGGCCATCGTCAGTACTGGGCACTAATCAGTGTCATCTTCCTTGGGGCATCCTTTGTAGAACCCCTTGCGTGCCCTTGCATTTTCGTGTGCCTATATACAATTTCATGCATGCGTGCGTGCGTCCGCGCAGCGGTGTGGCCTGAAGACGATGGAAGGAGCGACTCTAAGCCAAAACAAATCAGCCCCTATAGTAGTAGTAGGGCGGGGACGAAGAACTCCGTGGAGTCGGCCGCAGCACCCGAAACCCCTTTTATAGAACCCTTCTGCTCCTCTTGCAAAGACCCCTTTCACCGGACCCCTTTAAAGGAACCCGATTCTGCTTCTTACAGCAGCTAGATCCGGTATTGACGACCTCGATGCTCAGAAGCAAAACTTTTTCTTCGTGCCGTCCGCAGCTCCCGGGGCTCTGACTCTGCCCCCGGGCTGTACATCTAAGTATGTCTGTGAAAGCTTGTGACAGAGAGCAGCCACATGGCCCTGCGCTGGCTCTTCAGCGCCGCCATCTTCTCGTACCTCCTCTCAGCTGAACGCCCGAATCTTAGCGTTGCGCCTTCCTGCGTGTGCGTACGCTCGGCCCCTCGGCCGGCTGCACCACCCTCCCAGAGGCATTGCCGACCAACTGCTGCGCGACGAAGCCGACAGCTTCCTGAATCGACGTGCGCGGCCAAGACTTTCAGGCGACCCTTTGGGCCCGTTTTGGGCCCCCTGCGTCTCGCAATTCTTCGGTGATCGGCCCGAGGTCACGGAGCCAGGGTGTCTGAGCAGGAGAAGCGAAGCAAAGCACCGCTTGCTGCTCGTGGAGTACAGGACTGCTCTTAAAAAGGAATGATTTATGTTACCGTGCTGTTCAAGATACTTTTTTGTTGTGCAGCCTTGCCTGGCACTGCCCTTATAAACCCTAAGCGGTGCGCTTGCCGCTGTGCAGGAGACGCCAAATGGGACCCGAACGGATGTCAAGGCACCAGCTTAATCCTTGTGCAGAATGCATATCGGATAAAATCATCAATCCTTGAGGTTCCTCATCATTGCAAGTCACGAGGTCTCATAACAGAAAACCTAAGCCACACGATTTCCCAAATCGCCGATTATTCTTAAGGCCCCTGGGTTCCTCTCGTCGGCATTTTCTTCGACGCTGCCGAAGAACGAGGTTTGAGAAAACGGAAACCCAGAGCTAAAGCTGGTTTCCCGGGGGCTTGAAGGTTTCATAAGGAAAACTGCTGGTGGTTTTGGCGGTATAGGGTCTCAGGTTGAAACTCCCAGTGTAGGTTGGCCTTCCAAAGTGTTCAGACGGCATCCTCAAGCTCGACGGAGTCTACGAGGCCCATGAGTGGCACGCTGTCTTGCGCCCTGTAGGGGTCCCCTTAGTGATTTCGGGTTTAAACCCTAAACCCTAAACCCTAAACCCTAAACCCTAAAGGGCATTCGGGTTTGAGCATGTCGAGTTGGCGCCGCCTGGGCTCTCGTCTCTCTGGAAAACATTTGAAAGCCCATTGCCGCAAGAGAGTGCATCGGAAAAGAAGGGGGCAACGGGACTTAAAATCGTTTCGGCCTGTCATGTCCCCCCAGCCGGCTACGAACGCCCGGCTTGAGAAGGCGAGCTGTAGTTCGGACCTCCACCCGAAAACATGAAGCCCCGGCGACACAGCGTGTGACTCTAGGTGAAGGAGGTGGTCCTCATTGAGGAGCCTTCGTGCCAGGTCGTGGGGAGTGGGAGCCTGAGCAGAGCCTGAGAGGGGAGGAGAGGCCTCAAGTCTCAGCCGTGCTGAGCCGTGCAGGTGCCGAGCTGCTCCTCTCGGCGCCCGTGCGCTTCCAGGGCAGCGTGGTCTTCGCAGGGCAGCTAAACGTAAAGGCCGGCGAGGGCGGCAAGATAAACGGCCCCTGCATTGCCGTCAAGAGCAACTTTACGTTGCTTCCAGAAGCACGCCTCAGCCTTCAGGGCTGCGAGAATCAGGCTTTGGGGATGGCAGGATACGGAGGCTGCCTCCGGGTGGGTGGTGACGCCAAACTTCTGGGCGGCCAGTTGCTTCTCCGTGAATGCAAAGCAGAAGCTGGAGCCACTTACGGAGGCGGCATCTATGTCGGAGGCCGGACCGGCGTTGGCTGCTTTGTCCTAGAGAGACGCCGTCTTGGAACGCTTGCGCGTGGAGGGCTCCTAGACGCATGCTGCTGATGCCAAGCTGACCGTTTCTGTGCAGTTGTGACTGTTGCAGGCACGCTGCAAATTCGAAACGCGACTATCGATGCAGAAGCATGTCTTGCAGCAGTTGGAGGTGGGGAGTGATAGCCAACATAAAGTTGTTCGGTCTCAAACTCAAGTGGTCGGAATATGGAGGGGAGGAGGCCCAGGCCCGTTAGGGTTTCGGATTTAGTACATCGGGTTAAGATCCCGTCAGTCTGCAAGCGTCTCGATAGGCGTGATACGATCGCCTCTCCGTCTTGCATCTGTTGGCAGCGGCTTTGGATTCGGGTGTACGTATAAGGTGTGTGGAGCACGCGCAGGCGCCATCTATGCAGGGCGACACGTGAACGTCTCCGGTGGCAACGTGACCACCAAGGAGTCTACAGCTAAGGAGAACGGAGGCAGGGCGGGAGGGCGGGGGTGGGGGGGTGGGGGGTGGGGGGGGTGGACCGCTTTCTTGGTCCTGGAACATGGGACAAGGGAACCCCCCCCCCCCCCCAGAAAAAAAAAACAGTGGCAGACAGAGCGCGCAGGTCTGGGCGGAGGGTTCTTCGAGGCAAAGACTGAGAGACTTGGGGGTGCAGATACAGCCCTTGACGTAACGCAGCAAGTCATAACGCGTCACAACCCATGCTTAGGTACCCAGTCTTGCTGAAATATTACAGTAGACAGAGCAGTAAATGCTACTTCCCGTTTATATGTCAGTCTGTAAAGACAAACCCCCTGGATCAAACTCTCTGCGGCCAGCAAAAACGGGAGGAAGACGGAAAATCCGTAAATGATGGTACGAATGACGGAAATTTTCGGAATATGCAAGACAAAACATCTGGAAATGATGGGATATGAAGGACTGAAAAACCCGGAAATAAGGAATATGAATGACGCAATTTTCCCAAAAGCACATTCTGTCGGGTTTCAGTCTCTAAAGAAAGGAAGCAACAAATCCGGAAATGATGGAATACGAAACAAATCGGAGAGAAGGCGGACTACCCCAGGACTAATGCAGGAAAGGCCGGACACGAATCGAGGATGTGACGGGAACATCTGTCCGAACAAGAAAGACGGAACTATCCGGAAATGAAGGAATACGAAACGAATCGAGAAGAAGACAGAACAAGCCGCAAATGTCCGAGAATGAAACTCGGAAACATCCAGAAATAATAGAACATGATGCGAATCGGGAAGAAGACGGGCAATCCCGAAATGGCCGAACATGAACACAAAAATGTCCGGAAATAATTGTGTAGCCGGAAGAAGGTGAAAACCCAAACAAGAAAGACGAACATATCCAGAAATGGTGGCTTGTCAAGCGAATCGGCCAGAAGACGCCAACATTCCTAGGTGTCCGAATATGAAAGACGGAACATCCGGAAACGTCCGAACATGAAAGCGGTCAGATTCGGTACAAGCGGGGTTGAAAACCCAATCTTAGGACCGTTGCTGCGTTAAGGAGTTAGGCCCTGCCGGGCGCTGTCGTGCGAAGCTGGGGGCGCCCGGTGCTGCTCCTGAGCGTGTACAGTATTTTGTTTGCTCGTGTCCCGGTCGTTCCCGTTCCTGGGGTCTGCTTTGTCAACATTGGTCGGCATCCGGTTCCTCCTTGCGCCCTGCTGAGTGGAGTGATTGTCCTGCTTGAGCAATGGTCACATTGCAGGGTGAGAGCCCCAACCCCGAAAGCGCAGGGGAACCCCGAAGCTGCACCCAGGCACAAGGCAGAAACAGCGCACAGGGCTCGGCGGAAGGAAGTGAGTGATCCCGGTCGGGGTGGGGGGCCCGAATGCAAGGGTTCACCAACGCGGATGGCGCAAGGCACAGTACCCGCAACGGCGGCGTTTGCGCTGGCCCCATTGCGGCGCCGTTTTTTTCAAACAGCCGCTTTGCAACGGCGACCCCCTCGGGCGAGGCACGACGACCGAAGCCCGCTAAGGGGTCTCAATGTACTGCAAGTGAGTGGATGAAGACGGCGATGCTCACCGAAGAGGTGCAGGGAGATGCACAACAGGCCGGAGCGACAGCAGTTCATCACCCAGATTCAGAGGCAGCGGCCGTAGCCAGCGGCCAGCAGTCATGTCCACTTCCTGGCTTGATCGTCAAACACCAGCTAGACAAGTCTCAGCAAAGGTTTCAGCCCGAGCCTCTCCGTTTTGCATCTTTTGGCAGCTGCTCCGGATTCGGGTATAAAAGTATAATAAAGGTGTGTGGAGGCAGCAACTGAGCGGCGCTGCCACACGCGCAGGCGCCGTCGCTGCAGGCAGCGTGGCCATCTCCGGTGGCAGCGTGACCATCACGGAGTCTACGGCTACTTCGGATGGAGGCAGGTCCTGGAACATCCCTCCCAAAAGTAGCACACAGAGTGTGCAGTTCTGGGCGGAGGGTTCTTCGAGGCAAAGACTGAGAGATTTGCGAGCATATAATTATATAATTGCAGCCCTTGACGTAACGTAGCAAGTCATATATAACATGTCACAACCACGCTCCGCTGCTGACGGGCAGTCTTCCCCAACCGCAGACAGCGAGCACACGCCCGCTGTCTGATGTTGCAGTTGATGTTGGCACCCAGCTGCATCTCGAACTGAGTCTTCAAGTACCAGCAGCTCAGGGCCTCGGGCCATGCTGTTGATAAGCCACTCCTCTGTCAACAGTTTGGCGGTCACAACAGCATCCAACAACGAACATGTCCTGGGGCTCGCTTGCGAGCGCATCATTCACATTCAGAGGCAGCGGCCATACCCAGTGGCCAGCAGTCATGTCCACTGCCTGACTGTTGGCTCTGGAAGCCTGAAGCCTGATAAAACTAAGTCTCAGCAAAGGTTTCTACCCGAACCTCTGCGTTTTGCACCTGTTGGCAGCTACGGGTAAAAGTATAAGCTGTGTAGCCGGATACGGGTAAAAGTATAAGGTGTGTAGCTTGAGCGGCGCTGCCACACGCGCAGGTGCCATTGCTGCCGACAGAATGACCATCTCTGGTGGCAACGTGATCATCAAGATTTGTACGGCTTATGGGAAGGGAGGCAGGGGGGAAGGGCTTTTTCTGGCACAGAGCGTGCAGTTTTGAGCGGCCGGTTCTTGGCAGATACAGCCCCCTGACGTAGCGCAGCAGTCATAACATGTCACAACCAATGTTTAGGGACTCGGTCTGGCTGAAACACAGCACTGAATGTTGGTGTGTTGCAGTGCGTCACCCCACTGCTGACGGGCTGTCTTTCCCAACCGCAGGCAGCGAGTATACTCCCGCTGACTGATGTCACATTTGATGTTGGCACCTAGCGACATCTCGAACTGAGTCTTCAAGCACCAGCAGCTCAGGGCCTCGAGCCATGCTGTTGATAAGCCACTCCTCTTTCAACAGTTTGGCGGTCGCAACAGCGTCCAAAAACGAAAATGTCCGGGGGCTCGGTCTCGCGAAGCGCAGTTCATCACTCGGATTCGGAGGCAGCGGCCGTAGCCAGCGGCCAGCACTCATGTCTCTGGAAGGCTGTAGCCTGATAAAACAACAGCTAGATAAGCCTCAGCAAAGTCTCAGCCCGAGCCTCTTCGTTTTGCATCTGCTGGCAGCTGCTTCGGAGTCAGGTAGAAGCATAAGGTGTGTGGCCACACGCGCAGGCGCCATCTACGCACGGCAACACATGAACTTCTCCGGTGGGAACGTGACCCTCAACAAGTCTTTGGCTTGGAAAAATGGAGGCCGGGCGAGTGGGTCGCTTTCTTGGTCCTGGAACATGGGACGAGGGATCTCCCCCAAATGTGGCACACACAGCGAGCAGTTTTTGGCGGCGGGTTCCTTCGAGGCGAAGGGCGAAGACTGAGAGATTTTTTGGGGGCAGATACAGCCCTTGACGTAGCGTAGCAAGTCATAACATGTCACAATCATTGTTTAGGTTCTCAGTCTTGCTGCAATATTGGATGCAGCAGGAACTGTCTTTGTGAACTTCATTTCTTAAAGCAGTCGTCTCTTTACTGCTTCAGCAGCACAGTAGGCAAGTCTTTGCTCACGAGGTGGAACACTAGGGAGGGCGCAGAGCACACACAACTCAGACTGTCTTTGTGTTTTGCAGTGACGGGCAATCTTTCCCAACCGCAGGCAGCAAGTATACTCCCACTGACTGATGTGATGTTTGATGTTGGCACCTAGCGGCATCTCGAACTGAGTCTTCAAGCACCAGCAGCTCAATGCCTCGAGGCATGCTGTTGATAAGCCACTCCTCTTTCAACAGTTTGGCGGTCGCAACAGCGTCCGAACACGAAAATGTCCCGAGGGCTCGCTTGCGTGGTCTCGCGAAGCGCAGTTCATCACTCGGATTCGGAGGCAGCGGCCGTAGCCAGCGGCCAGCAGTCATGTCCACTTGCCTGACGGTTGGCTCTGGAAGCTCTGGAAGCCTTATGCCTGATAAAACAACACCTCGACAAGTCTCAGCAAAGGTTCCAGCCTGAGCCTGCCTGTTTTGCATCTGCTTGCAGCTGCTTCGGATTTGGGGGTAAGTGTACAGTGTGTGGAGCGGTTCAGCGGCGCTCCACTTGCACAGGCGCCATCTATACACGGCAATACAACGTCTCCGGTGGCAATGTGACCATCAAGGAGTCTACGACTAAACATGGGAGTGGAGGCGCGGGGAGGGGGTCGCCTGCTTGGTCCTGGAACATGAGACGAGGGATCCCGCACGCAGAGCGTGCAGTTCTGGGCGGAGGGTTCTTCGAGACAAAGGTTTCAGCCGAGCCTTTCCTTTTTGCATCTGTTGGCAGCTGCGTCGTCACACACGCGCAGGCGCCATCGCTGCAAACAGCGTGGCCTTTTCCGGCGGCAACGTGATCATCAAGGAGTCTACGGCTGGTCTGAATGGAGGCAGGGAGAGTGGGTCGCTCTCTTGGTCCTGGAACATGGGGCGAGGGGGATCCCCCAAAGGAAGTGGCGCACAGAGCGTGCAGTTTTGGGCGTTTAACACAAAAATCTCCGAAAGCTCGCTTTGCATGGTTTCGCGAAGCTCAGTTCATCACTCAGATTCGGGGGCAGCGGCCGAAACCAGCGGCCAGCAGTCATGTCCACTGGCTGACTGTTGGCTCTGGAAGCCTGAAGCCTGATACAACCACCCCAGGACATGTCTTAGCAAAGGTTTCAGCCCGAGCCTCTCCGTTTCTATTGCCAGATGCTCCGCCACACGCGCAGGCGCCATCTCTGTGGACAGCATGGCCATCTCCGGTGGCAAGAATGGAGGCAGGGGAGTTGCTTTCTTGGTCCTGGAACATGAGACGAGGGGTACCCCCAAACCAGTGGCACACAGAGCGTGCAGTTTTGGGTGGAGGGTTCTTCGAGGTAAAGACTGAGAGATCTGGGGGGGGGGGGGGGGGGATACCGGCGTTGACGTAACAGAGCAAGTCACAACATGTCACAACCAATGTTTAGGTACTCAGTCTTGCTGAGATATTTGATGCAGCAGGACATGTTAGTGTTTGCAGTGCATCTCTCCGCTGCTGACGGGCAGTCTTTCGCAACCGCAGGCAAACGAGTATACTCCCACTGACTGATGTGACATTTGATGTTTGGCACCTAGCGGCATCTCCAACTGAGTCTTCAAGCACCAGCAGCTCAGGGCCTCGGGCCATGCTGTTGATAAGCCACTCCTCTTTCAACAGCTTGGCGGTCGCAACAGCGTCCAAACACGAGAATGTCTGGGGGCTCGTTTGCATGGTTTCGCGCAGTTCATAGCTCACATTCAGAGGCCGCGGCCATAGCCAGTGGCCAGCAGTCATGTCCACTGCCTGACTGTTGGCTCTGGAAGCCTGAAGCCTGATACAACCACCGCAGGATATGTCTTAGCAAAGGTTTCAGCCCGAGCCTCTCCGTTTCTGTTCGCAGCTGCTTCGCCACACGCGCAGGCGCCATCTCTGTGGACAGCATGGCCATCTCCGGTGGCAACGTGACCATCAAGGAGTCTAGAGCTAAGGAGAATGGAGGCAGGTCCCCCCAAAAGTGGCACACAGAGCCTGCAGTTTTGGGCGGAGGGTTCTTCGAGGTAAAGACTGAGAGATCTGGGGGGGGGGGGGGGGGGCAGATACCGGCGTTGACGTAACAGAGCAAGTCACAACATGTTACAACCAACGTTTCGGTACTCAGTCTTGCTGAGATATTGGATGCAGCAGGCCATGTTAGTGTTTGCAGCGCGTCTCTCTGCTGCTGACGGGCAGTCTTTGGCAACCGCACGCAAACGAGTATACTTCCACTGGCTGATGTGACATTTGATGTTGGCAGCCCGAACTGAGTCTTCAAGCACCAGCAGCTCAATGCCTCGAGGCATGCTGTTGATAAGCCACTCCTCTTTCAACAGCTTGACAGGCTGATTGTTGGCTCTGGAAGCCTGAAGCCTGATAGAACAACAGCTAGAAAAGCCACAGCAAAGGTTTCAGCCTCTCCGTTTTGCATCTGGTGGCAGCTGCTTCAGATTCGGGCATACCTAGAAGCTCCTATATAGTACCTTTTTTGGGGTAGTATACTAGAATCCCCCATACCTAACCCAAAAAGGGACTACATTGGAGACTCCAGGTAAGCATAAGGTGTGTGGAGCTGTCCAGCAGCGCTGCCACACTCGCAGGCGCCATCTTTGCACGGCAACACATGAACGTCTTCGGTGGCAACGTGACCATCAAGGAGTCTACGGCTAGAGATGGGCATGGAGGCAGGGGGGGGGGGGTTCGCTTTCTTGGTCCTGGAACATGGGACGAGGGATCCCCCAAAAAAAGTGGCACAGAGAGCGTGCAGTTTTGGGCGGAGAATTCTTCGAGGCAAAGACTGAGAGATCTGGGGGCAGATACAGCCCCTGACGTAGCGTAGCAAGTCATAACATGTCACAACCAATGTTCCGGTACTCAGTCTTGCTGAAATCTTTTGTTTTCGTTTTGCAGTGCTGACGGGCAGTCTTTCCCGACCACAGGCAGCGAACTCCCACTGACTGATGTGACGTTTGATGTTGGTACCTAGTGGCATCTCGAACTGAGTCTTCAAGCACCAGCAGCTCAATGCCTCGAGGCATGCTGTTGATAAGCCACTCCTCTTTCAACAGCTTGGCGGTCGCAACAGCGTCCAAACACGAAAGTCTCCGGGGGCTCGCTTGTATGGTATCGCGAAGCGCAGTTCACCACTCAGATTCGGAGATATTCGGAGGCAGCGACCGTCATGTCCACAGGCCGACTGTTGGTTCTGGAAGCCTGAAGCCTGATAAACCAACAACCATATGTCTGAGCAAAGGTTTCAGCTCCGAGTCTCTTTGAGTTTTGCATCTGTTGGCAGCTGCTTCGGTTTCGGGTAGAAGTATACGGTGTGTGGAGGCAGCGGTTGAGGGGCGCTGCCACACGCGCAGGCGCCATCTATGCAGAGAGCATGGCCTTCTCCAGCGGCAGCATGACCATCAAGGAGTCTATGGCTGGTCTGGATGGAGGCCGGGGGGCTTGGTCGCTTTCTGGGGATTTTAAGAGAAGTGGCACACAGAGCGTGCAGTTTTGGGCGGAGGGTTCTTTGAGCCAAAGATTGCGAGATTTTTGGGGGCAGATACAGCCCTTGGCGCAACGTAGCAAGTCATAACATGTCACAACCAATGTTTAGGTACGCAGTCTTGCTGAAATATTGGACGCAGCAGTTAATGTTAGTGTTTTGCATTGCGTCACTCCGGCTGCTGACGGGCAGTCTTTCCCAACTGCAGGCAGCGAGTATACTCTGACTGATGTCACATTTGATGTTGGCAGCTAGCGGAATCTCGAACTGAAGACTTCAGGGCCTCGAGCCATGCTGTTGATAAGCCGGTGATTGATAAGCCACTCCTCTTTCAACAGCTTGACGGTCGCAACAGCGTCCAAACACCAGAATGTCCGGGGGCTCGTTTGCATGGCTTCGCGCAGTTCATCGCTCACATTCAGAGGCAGGGGCCGTAGCCAGTGGCCAGCAGTCATGTCCACAGGCTGGCTGACTGTTGGCTCTGGAAGCCTGAAGCCTGATAACCAAATACTATATGTCTCAGCAAAGGTTTCAGCCCGAGCCTCTCTGTTTTGCTTCTGTTGGCAGCTGCTTCTAAAATCGGGTATAAGCATACGGTGTGTGGAGCCGTCAATCGGCGCTGCCACACTTGCAGGCGCCATCTATACACAGCAACACATGAACGTCTTCGGTGGCAACGTGACCATCAAGGAGTCTTCGGCTAGAGATGGGCATGGAGGCAGGGGGGGGGGGGGGGGGGGGGGGGGTTCGCTTTCTCGGTCCTGGAACATGGGACGAGGGATCCCCCAAAAAAGTGGCACAGAGAGCGTGCAGTTTTGGGCGGAGGGTTCTTTGAGGCAAAGACTGAGAGATTTTTGGGGGCAGATACAGCCCTCGGCGTAACGTAGCAAGTCAGAACATGCCACAACCAATGTTTATAGGTACTCAGTCTTGCTGAAATATTGGATGCAGCAGTTAATGTTACTGCTTTGCCGCGCGTCACTCCGGCTGCTGATGAGCAGTCTTTCCGAACCGCACGCAGCGAGTATACTCCCGCTGACTGATGCGACATTTGATGTTGGAACCTAGTGGCATCAGCTCAGGGCCTCGAGGCATGCTGTTGATAAGCCACTCCTCTTTCAACAGCTTGGCGGTCGCAACAGCGTCCAAACACGAAAGTCTCCGGGGGCTCGCTTGTATGGTATCGCGAAGCGCAGTTCACCACTCAGATTCGGAGATATTCGGAGGCAGCGACCGTCATGTCCACAGGCCGACTGTTGGTTCTGGAAGCCTGAAGCCTGATAAACCAACAACCATATGTCTGAGCAAAGGTTTCAGCTCCGAGTCTCTTTGAGTTTTGCATCTGTTGGCAGCTGCTTCGGTTTCGGGTAGAAGTATACGGTGTGTGGAGGCAGCGGTTGAGGGGCGCTGCCACACGCGCAGGCGCCATCTATGCAGAGAGCATGGCCTTCTCCAGCGGCAGCATGACCATCAAGGAGTCTGCGGCTGACTTTAATGGAGGCAGGGAGGGTGGGCCGCTAGGGTTTAGGGTTTAGGGTTTAGGGTTTAGGGTTTAGGGTTTAGGGTTTAGGGTTTAGGGTTTAGGGTTTAGGGTTTAGGGTTTAGGGTTTAGGGTTTAGGGTTTAGGGTTTAGGGTTTAGGGTTTAGGGTTTAGGGTTTAGGGTCTGGGATGAAGGATCTTGGTCCTGGAACATGGGACGAGGGCGATCCCCCCAAAGAAGTGGCACACAGAGAGCGTGCAGAGTTTTGGGCGGAGGGTTCTTCGAGGCAAAGACTGAGAGTTTTGGGGGGCAGGTAAGTCAGAACCTGTCACAACCAATGTTTACAGGTACTCTGCCGAATATTGGGTGCAGCAGTTAATGTTTGTGTTTTGCAGACCGGCAGTCTATCCCACCGCAGGCAACGATTATACTCTGACTGATGTGACATTTGATGTTAGCACCTAGCATGATCTCGAACAGCGTCCAAACACGACTGTCTTCGGGGGCTTGCTCGCGAAGCGCAGTTCATCACCCAGATTCGGAGATATTCGGAGGCAGCGGCAGCGGCCAGCAGTCATGTCCACAGGCTGACTGTTGGCCCTGGAAGCTTGAAGCCTGAGAAAACAAAAGCTAGATAAGTGTCAGCAAATGGCTTCAGCCAGAGCCTCTCCGTTTTGCGTCTATTGGCAGATGCTTCGGATTCGGGTAGAAGTATAAGGTGTGTGGAGGCAGCGGTTGGGCGGCACTGCCTCGCGCGCAGGCGCCATCGCTGCAGGCAGCATGGCCATCTCCGCTGGCAACATGACCATCATGGAGTCCACGGCGAGAGATGGGCATGGAGGCAGGGGGAGTGGGTCGTTGTCTTGGTCCTGGTCTATGGGACGAGGAATTCCTCTCCAAAAAGTGGAACACAGAGCGTGCAGTTTTGGGCGGAGGTTCTTCGAGGAACAGACTGAGAGATATGGGGGGGCAGATACAGCCCTTGACGTAACGTAGCAAGTGATAACATGTCACAACCAATGTTTACCTAGTCTTGCTGAAATTTTGGATGCAGCAGTTAATGTTCGTGTTTTGCCATGCGTCTCACTCCGGCTGCTGACGGGCAGTCTTTCCCAACCCCACGCGGCGAGTATACTCTGACTGATGTGACGTTTGATGTTAGCAGCTAGCATGAGTCTTCAAGCACCAGCAGCTGAATGCCTCGAGCCATGCTGTTGATAAGCCACTCCTCTTTCAACAGCTTGGCGGTCGCAACAGCGTCCAAACACGACAGCCTCCGGGGGCTCGCTTGCATGGTATCGCGAAGCGCTCAGATTCGGAGATATCCGGAGGCAGCGGCAGTAGCCAGCGGCCAGCAGTCATGTGCACAGGCTGACTGTTGGCTCCGGAAGCCTGAAGCCTGATACACCAACAACTACATGTCTCAGCAAAGGAAACCCGGTTTCAGCCCGAGCCTCTCAGTTTCGCATCTGTTGGCAGCTGCTTCTAAAATCGGGTACAAGTACAAGGTGTGTGGAGGCAGCGGTTGAGCGGCGCTGCTACACGCGCAGGCGCTATCTATGCACCGCAACACATGAACGTCTCCGGCGGCAACGTGAACATCAAGGAGTCTACGGCTTGGAAGTTGGCAGGCAGGGGGAGTGGGTCGTTTCTTGGTCCTGGAACACGGGACGAGGGATCGCCCCCAAAAAGTGGCACCGAGAGTCCACAGGCTGACTGTTGGCTCTGGAAGCCTGATACACCAACAACATGTCTCAGCAAAGGTTACCCGGTTTCAGCCCGAGCCTCTCCGTTTTGCATCTGTTTTCAGAGCGGCGCTGCCACACGCGCAGGCGCCATCTATGCAGGCAGCATGGCCATCTCCGGTGGCAACGTGACCATCCAGAAGTCTACGGCGAAAGAGAGCCATGGAGGCAAGGGGGGGGGGGGGTGAGAGTGGCATTCTTGGTCCTGAAACATGGGACGGAAGCCTGCATGATAAAACAGCTGGATAAGAGCAAAGGTTTCACCCCTAGCCCCTCCCTTTTCGCATCTGTGGGCAGCTGCTTCCCTAGCTTCTTGAGGCCCCGAAACTCCCTCAAGCTTCTTGCGGCCCAGAAACTTCCTTAAATTTTAAAAAGGCTTCATGAAGCCGCTAGATTCCGTCAAAGTCTCTAAGCTTCTTGGGGCCCTAAACCCATGAGAAGCTCTAAGCTTCTTGATGCGACTAAATACTCCATTTGAAAGCTTCTTACGGCCCCGAATTTCCTTAAAGTCTTAGAGTCTCTAGGCCCCTAAACGCCCTTAAAGTTTGAAAGCCGCTGGCGGCCGCTGAACCCCTTAAAGTGCTAAAAGTCTTACAGTCCCTGAGCTCCTTGAGGCCCCTAAACTCCCTTAGAGTTTGAAAGCTGCTTGCGGCCCCAAGCCCCCTTACAGTCGGGTACGCGGGTACGCGGAGAAGGTTGTCGTTCGCGGCCAAAAGTGTGAACACCTACTCCGGATTCCTGGTCAGTGCCTGAGGAAAATGCGGAAGATGTAAAGACAGAGATAGGAAGATATGAAGTTGAAGGTTTCCTTTAAAGGAAGAGATATGCTGTTCGTTGTTAATGTGGAAGCCCCTAAAGGATCATTCGAGTCAGTACAAGGGACACCATCGACATTTCTCTTGGCCTCGCACCCGAGGCTTTCAGCCACACAGGAGGGTTTTTTTCAAAAATCGCTTTAAACCCTTCACCCAAGGATTTCAGCCAGCTGTTTTCCTTGAATTCCTGGGTGGTCTTCAAGCACCAGCAGCTCAGGGCCTCGGGCCACGCTGTTGATAAGCCACCGGTCGCAACAGCGTCCAAACACAAGAAGCGCAGTTCATCACTCAGATTCGGAGGCAGCGGCCGTAGCTCGCGGCCTTCAGTCATGTCCACAGGCTGACTGTTGGCTCTGGAAGCCTGATACACCAACAACTACATGTCTCAGCAAAGGTTACCCGGTTTCAGCCCGAGCCTCTCCGTTTTGCATCTGTTTTCAGGTATAAGTATAAGGCGGTTGAGCGGCGCTGCCACACGCGCAGGCGCCATCTATGCAGGCAGCATGGCCATCTCCGGTGGCAACGTGACCATCCAGAAGTCTACGGCGAAAGAGAGCATCCAGAAGTCTACGGCGAAAGGAGGCAAGGGGGGGCGGGGGGTGAGAGTGGCAATTCTTGGTCCTGAAACATGGGACGGAAGCCTGCATGATAAAACAACAGCTGGATAAGAGCAAAGGTTTCACCCCTAGCCCCTCCCTTTTCGCATCTGTGGGCAGCTGCTTCGGATTCTCGGGTATATAAGTATTAAGGTGTGTGGAGGCAGCGGGAGCGGAACTGCCACGCGCGCAGGCGCCATCTATGCAAAGCAACACATGAACGTCTCGGGCGGCAACGTGAACATCAAGGAGTCTACGGCTGAGGGTGATGGAGGCAGATCGCTTTCTTGGTCCTGTAACATGGGACTAGGGCTTAGGGTTTGGGGTTTAGGGTTAAGGTGGCACACAGAGCGTGCAGTTTTGGGTGGTTCCTTGAGGCAGAGGCAAGGACAGATTGCGGGGGGCGGGGGGGGGGGGCAGATACAGCACTGATACAGCGCTTGACGTAGCGTAGCAAGTCATAACATGTCACAACCAATGTTTAGGTACTCAGTCTCGCTGACATACAGTAAATGTTTTGCAGTGCGTCACCCCGCTACTGACGGGTAGTCTTTCCCAACCGGTGTGACATGTGATGTTGGCACCTAGCGGCATCTCGAACTGAGTCTTCAAGCACCAGCAGCTCAGGGCCTCGAGCCATGCTGTTGATAAGCCACTCCTCTGTCAACAGCTTGGAGGTTGCAACAGCGTTCGAACACGAAAATGTCCCAAGGGCTCGCTTGCCAGCAGTCGTGGCCACAGGGCTGACAGCTGGCTCTGGAAGCCGGAAGCCTGATACAACAGCTAGATAAGTCTCAGCAAAGGTTTCAGCTCCGAGTCTCTTTGAGTATTGCATCTGTTGGCAGCTGCTTCGCATTCGGGAATACGTATAAGGCGTCTGGCTGGAGGCAGCGTTATGCAGTGCGTCGCTGCTGACGGGCAGTCTTTCCGCGAGTATTCTCTCGCTGACTGATGTGACATTTGATGTTGGCGCCTAGCGGCATCTCGAACTGAAGCAGGAGGTCGTCACTCAGACTCGAAGGCAGCGGCCGCAGTTGGCGGTTGGTAACTATGTCCACAGGCTGATTGTTGGCTCTGGATGCTCTGGAAGCCTGAAGCCTGAGAAAACAAAAGCGAGATAAGTCTCAGCAAAGGTTCCGAGAAAACAACAGCTAGATGAGTCTCAGCAAAGGTTTCAGCCCGAGCCTCTCCGTTTTGCATCTGTTGGCATCTGCTTCATCAGTATTAAGGAGTGTGGAGGCAGTGGTTGTGCGGCGCTGCCACACCCGCAGGCGCAATCAAAGCAGAAAGCATGGCCATCTCCGCTGGCAACGTGACCATCACGAAGTCTATGAATAGAGATGGGAGTGGAGGCAGGGTGGTCGCTTTCTTGGTCCTGGAACACCAGGAACCCCCCCCAAAAAAGACACAGAGCGTGCAGTTTTGGGTGGAGGGTTCTTCGAGGCAAAGACTGAGAGATCTGAGGGGCAGATACAGCCGTTGACGTAACAGAGCCAGTCACAACCAATGTTTAGGTACTCAATCTTGCTGAATTATGGGATGCAGCCGTACCTGCTATTGTTTTGCAGTGTGTCACTCTGCTGGTCACGCGCAGTCTTTCCTAACCTCAGGCAGCAAGTATACTCCCGATGACTGGTTTGACATGTGATGTTGGCACCTAGCGGCATCTCGAACTGAGTCTTTCAAGCACCAGCAGCTCATGCTGTTGATAAGCCACTCCTCTTTCAACAGCTTGGCGGTTGCAACAGCGTCCGACACGAAATTGTCCCAAGGGCTCGCTTGCCAGCAGTCGTGGCCACAGGGCTGGCTGTTGGCTCTGGAAGCCTGAAGCCTGATACAACAGCTAGAGAAGTCTCAGCAAAGGTTTCAGCTCCGAGTCTCTTTGAGTATTGCATCTGTTGGCAGCTGCTTCGCATTCGGGAATACGTATAAGGCGTCTGGAGGCAACGGTTGAGCGCCGCTGCCACATGCGCAGGCGCCATCTATGCACAGCAACACATGAACGTCTCCGGCGGCAACGTGACCATCAAGGGGTCTACGGCTAAGTGGAATGGAGGCAGGGGGAGTGGGTCGCTGTCTTGGTCCTGAAAAATGGGACGAGGGATCCCCCAAGAAAGCGGCACACACAGCACGTGCGGTTTGGGGCGGAAGGTTTTTCAAGGCAAAGACTGAGAGATTTGGGGGCAGATGCAGCCCTTGACGTAACGTAGCAAGTCGTAAAACGTCGCAACCAATGTTTAAAGTTTAGGCACTCAGTCTTGCTGACATTTTGGATGCAGCAGTACATGTTAGTGTTTTGCAGGGCGTCACTCCGCCGCTGACGGGCAGTCGCGAGTATACTCCCGCTGACTGATGTGACGTTTGATGTTGGAACTTAGCGGCATCCCGAACTGAGTCTTCAAGCACCAGCAGCTCAGGGCCTCGGGCCATGCTGTTGATAAGCCACTCCTCTTTCAACAGCTTGGCGGTCGCAACAGCGTCCAAACACCAGAATGTCTCCGGGGGCTTGCATGGTTTCTTGCGAAGCGCAGTTCGTCAGTTTCGGAAGCAGCGGCCGTAGCCAGCAGCAGTCATGTCCACACCTCTCCGTTTCGCATCTGTTGGCAGCTGCTTCGGATTCGGGTATAAGTCGGTATATATATATATATATGTGGGTATTACGGTATATGTATTATATATATATATATATATATATATAAGCGAAAGGTGTGTGGAGGCAGTGGTTGTGCGGCGCTGCTACACGCGCAGGCGCCATCAAAGCAGACAGCATGGCCATCTCCGGGGGCAACGTGACCATCAAGGAGTCAACGGCCAAGTTGAATGGAGGCGGGGGGGGGGGGGGGTAGATCGCTTTTAGTCCTGAAACACGGTGTCTGTGGGCAGCAGTTTTGCGACGCCACCACACGCGCAGGCGCCCTCTCTGCAGACAGCATTGCCATCTCCGGTGGCAACGTGACCATCAAGGAGTCTATGGCCAAGTTGAATGGAGGCATGGGGGGTGGGTCGCTTGTTTGGTCCTGAAACATGGGACGAGATCTCCCCAAAAAAGTGGCACGCAGAGCGGCAGTTTGAGGCGGAGGGTTCTTTGAGTTTCAGGCTGAGGGGTTGAGAAGCAGCCCCTGCTGCAATGTAGCAAGTCATAGCATGTCACAACCAGTGTTTAGGTGCTCAGTCTTCAAGGCTGAAAACAGGACGCAGCCCGAAATGGGGTTTTGCGAGGCGTCGCACCGCTGTTGATGCGCAGTCTTTCTCTGCCACGGGAAATGAATGCTCTCGCTAGCTGATGTGAGTCTGCAGTGTCTTGAACAGATAGCCTTGTCGGAGGCTCCCTAGAAGCTCCTTGGGCAGAAAGCAAGGTCGGGTGGTGCTACGGGATATGCTGACGAAGTAATCACATCACTGCTAGCCCAGCAGCATTGCCTCGCTAAGCAACACTCACACACAGACCTGCAACAGCGCCCTCTTCGACTCGAGCAAGCAGTGAAGGGAAGTTTCTTGCTCGTTGGGTCGTGCCGTGCCTCGCAGGGTCACAGGGCTCTTGCTGCCGCCGCTTGTTGTCTCGCGAGCTGAATGAAGTTCTTCTCTCAGCCTCGTGGCCGTTGTGTCTTAAGCCGTCACAGGCTGACGCGTCCAGCCTTCTGCATTCGCTGGAAAGCAAACAAATCACGCTGGCAAACTGGCACTTGGCTGGTGTCTTTTAATTCCAAAGTGGTCAAGCTGCTGTGCTTCCTCAGGGCCAATCCACACCTGCTCCGGAGGCTGCATCTACACTAACCGTACGTTCGAGCAGTCCAACGGCGCCGTGAGCCTTCAGGGCTGCAGAGCCACGCGCAGAGGAGGCACCGGGCGCAGGTGTTGGGGTGCGTTCACTTTGCGGGTGCTTCGAGCCGCTGTTCGGGAGGAGAGGAGGCTCAGTTTTTTCCAAAGGGACAGGGACTGTCGCTAAAGGACTTGAGGGTGGAGCTGGCATGCCCATGCCGCTGAATTCATGCTGTGGGAGTCCTGCCGCGGCCAGGTGGCATGTTCTCGCGGCACAACATCACGATTGAGGATACGGCCATGCTGACAATCCGCGACTCCCAGTCAGATAGAGGCGGAGGCATCTTCGCAAGCAGGGTCAGCAACAAGGCAGGGAGTAGAAACGTGTGGTGCTGGAAGCCTCCCTTTGCCATTTTTGTCTCCGCCTCCTAACCCTTGCCCGAAGGTAGAAGACTGGAATAATCATGGTTCGTATTTCTCAGGGGTGGTTGAACCTACCTTTCGTGTGCATGGCATGGCCCGGAGAGGTCCAGCAACTGCATGTGTCCTCCTGCTCAGCCACGAGCCACGGCGGCTGCTTCTATGTCAAAGAAGGGGCCGAGTTCACTACCCCGCTCCTCCTGAGGGGTTGCAAAGCCAAAGGTGCTGGCGGCGCCATTTACTTGCAACAAGGAAGTCTCGTGGGAAAGCAGATCATCTGCAGCCAGTGCCATTCCCCGACTTCAGGGTGCTTGCACCTCGAAGATGGTCAGGCAAGCATCGGGAGCCTGCTGCTTGACAGCGGCTCCAGGCTCGTTCCAGAGTCTACCAACATTGTTGCTGCTGGCGACGATGCGAACGTCACGCTCGGCAGGGCGGACTGCCGCAAAGTGCCCGGCTGCACTTTTGCTGTTGCGCAGATGCAGCTGGCACGACTCCTGTGTCAGCGAGGAGAGAGCCGGCAATTCTTGCCAGACGGCGATGGCACGGCGTGCAAGGAATGTCCAACGGGTAACATCCGCCTCGTTGCAGTAGACGAGGCTCGGTCGGGGGGGGCAGTCAGGTTAAGGAGCATGGGAAGTACCTTAACCTACCATAAAGGGCCCTATGAATCCAATATTCGGGTTCATACTGAGAACCTAATTGCAGAAGGTAGGTTACGGCCTTAACGTAGCCTTCAACGAGCATGGGACACGCCTGCCTGGGATTCGACTTTGGAACTCTACATGAAACATGAGAAATGAGAAGCACGCGTATCCGAATTCATCCGTGGGATCGCAAGCCCGAAGTCGGAAGTCCATCAACTCACATGGGTAGTACCTTAACCTACCAGAACCTACCTATGAATCCCATAATTTGGGTGCATACTGAGAACCTACAGCAGGTAGGTTAGCCTGGGCTTCGACTTCGCAAGGTTTGTGGTGTGGTTGTCCAAATTCGGATCCTTTTTGGGTGCCACAGGCCTTTCACTTCTCCCCACTGCAGCATTTCTATAGTCGCCTCCGCCTCTCCCAGCCAGGGTCGTGGTCTCTTGGCTGTGTTGCTTTCAGGAGGATGCCCGCTGCACACCGTGCCCCAACATGGGAAATGTCACCATTCTCTGCACATCCACGGAGCTTCGTCTACCGCCCGGCTACATGGTGCCTCGGGCTGCAGCGATCTTTCAGCTCAGATCTTAGCCACTGTGCGTTGTGCGCGATGCCCAGCAGCTTATGCAGAGGTGGACTTCGATCGCACCGTGGCCACCAATCTCTCCGCCTGGTATCGGTGCCCCAACGAGATGGCCTCTTGCCCTTGTACGTCAGATGAGAAGGTTTGCTTCACCTGCGGCGTGTTGCAAAGAGCCGTGATCAGCTGAGGGCTGCCGCGGCGGCCACTTCAATGCCAGCAGCGTCCCTGGCGAGCGTGCGCAGGACTGGGGTGGACGCGCAGCTCAGGCAACTGGAAACTGGATGCTTTGCGTGGCTGGATCTCGGGGTGTTGGCAGGCCTCTTGGGGATTGAATGGCTCGTCCTATGAAGATGCGGGGTTTGCTTAGGGCACGCAGCTTGAGTCAGCTGGATGTTTTATCGTAGCCGTCGCAAGAATACGGAGCAATCATGCAGACTTTGGTGATGGCGTGAACGAGGAGCAGGTGTGAAGGTGTCTTCTGGCAGGAGCTGGTTCCCATGTGTGAAGAAGGCTACCGTGGCCCCGGGAGCCTTGGTGCAAATTTTGCGGTTGGGGAAGGAGGGAGGGAGAGAGAGAGAGAAGGAGACAGGGAGAAAGAGATAGTCCAGAAAGTGAAGAAAGAAGAAAGCAAGACAGAGAGCCAAAGGTCCTGAAAAGCGTTCGTTTATGTACCTCACACTAGGCTCGTGCAACGAGCATGATGCTGAGCCACTGATCAAGGCAGCGCCGTCGCAGCAGGATTTCATCGGGGAGGATCAGGGAGGGAGGGTCCATAACGCTGAGGAACGAAAGGGGGGGGGGAGGCAAAAGGGGGTGAATACGGTGAATGATGAAACGGAGGAGGGAGTAGGGAGGAGGGAGGAATTGAAAGAAGCAAAAGGGAAAGAAAGAAAGATAAAGAGTTAAACAAAGAAAGCGTTGGCATCGAGGACTTGAGGGGGGATGAGACTCTGAAAACCTCCTTTTCGAGGTGCACGAGCTGCGCTGAAGGCCACGCACGTGCAGATGCCGACATTCTGCGGTGCATCCCCTGTGCCAATTGGACCACCTCACCCAAGCAGGCCGGGAAGGCGTAGAGGGAGTAGCCAGAGATCGGCTGGGGTGGGCAGTGCGATTTTCAAGGTGGTGTGGTATGTCAGCTTCTTTCTCTCAAAGAACCTGGCCCTCTTGGTTTCGGCGGTGGGCAGCGCCGTGGCCCCAGCAAGGGAAGGCATATCCGATGTTCGAAGTTGCTCGAGTCCCTGGCCCAAGGTGGAGGGCAGCGGAAACAAGAGAGCTGCCAGCGCCACGCTGCTGAATCAGGCAATGTCCTTCGCGGCCGTAGCCGCTGTGACGATGCGCCTCGGAACAAAAAGCGGTGCCTCGAGTGACAGAGTTTGCTTCGTGCTGAGCTTTGCTGAGCTCCCGAGGTCCGGCGCCATGCAGACGGACACTTTCAAGCACGATCTCAACAACGCAGCGCAGGACCCCCCGCCCCCCCTTTTCTTTGTCAACTGGCACACTTACATCTGCTGCCCTTTGCAAGCTCTTAGTCTTAGTTCTCCTACAGCCTCGCATAGCACATCGCAGGTGGCCCTACAACTCTTGGCACTACCGGCGTCCGTCGCCCAAGGGCAAGGCTCCAGCGACGCCGGCAGCGGCAGCATGTCAGGCCAGTGCCTGCTTCAGCTGCTCTACACGGACGACAGCATCCACAACGTCCACATGCTCATGTCCCTCTGGCCTGCCTTGCTTGTAGCACCCTGGGCCGCACCCAGAGGAGACTTGCAAAAACAGAGGGTGTAGGGTTTAGGGTTTACGTTTTAGGGTTTAGGGTTTAGGGTTTACGGTTTAGGGTTTAGGGTTTAGGGTTGAGGGTTTAGGGTTTAGGGCCCGAAAATCCTCAAAAGCTCTCAGGCAGGCCTTGCGGTGGTCAAGGGCGGCTGGCTTGCGGCCGTGGTTGGAAGCAACGTCTTCCTGCCAGCCTTCATCGCCGGCTTCGGGAAGCGCCTCGGCGGCCCCTTGCGTGACCTCGAGTCGGGTTTATAATGGGGTCAGAATCTGTAATTTGTATACCCGTATAAGCATCCTCAACCTACCACAAGCTCCTGTTTCAGGTTCTTATTCTTTTCTGCTTGTAACACCTGATCTCGAACTGACAAGGACCCAAAGTTCAAGGCAGAGTTGTAGATGTGTAAGGTTCAAAAAATTAGGACAACACGTCGCATTGCCCCGAGGTACCTCGTGGCCTTCCGGCTGCGGCCCGAGTCAGAGAACGAGGCCCCCAGGGCATGCCCAAGCTTCGCGCTGATGGGGGGGGGGGGGGGGCCCTCGTTGAGGTTTACTGGGTTTAAGACAGCTTAAGGAGAATATTCATAGTCCTCTTCATGATGGTGTTATTCGCTGTACATTTAAGTTCGAACCTGATCTGGTCGGAAAGCCGTTTTTTTTTGCAAAATCTGCAATGTATTGCTTACAAGCATGTAGGCTGCCTATACACGCAACCTAAATGCCGTTGTGTGACAAAAGCTTTTGCCGAGCAAGATTGAGCACGCCAGCACGTAGCAACTCACATATCAAGCGAATACAAAAGTATAAACAAGAACGTTGAATGAAAACGAAGGTTGCAATACCAATACTATCACTCCTCACCCAACTTTGCCACAATCAAGATTAAGAATTCAAAGGCACTTCAAACACTCACCCTCTGGACGTGCAAATCTCGAGCCCTCATCCTCTAGATATTCAGATACCAAGTCTGTGACGCCTGCACGTCTTGGATTTAGCAAATCCAGATTGAAGGCTTATAGAGATACCTAAACACTCACATGGCGGAGGTGGGGTCCGGGGAGGGGGTAAGTTTTTCGGTATTTCTAGATATATGGGAGGGAGAGAGAGAGACAGAGAGGTCTCTGAGGTCTATAGTCTACAAGGTTTAGGGTTCAGGGCTCTGGCTGAGCTGAGAGTTGGCGCGCCCTCAGGCGCTGCGTTTGGACTTCCTTCCCCCGGGGCCGCAGATGAGCTCCCACGTGCCACTGCGCATCGCAGCAGTTCTGGGTGCCATCCTGGCCTTCTCGGCGCTGAGCGTGTGCAGCTGGATCTACGCCGCGCCTTGGTCGCCAATCGCCAGAAATGCGCATCCAGCCACCTCTCGAAGCAGTGCAGAGCCGATGCACTGCCGAGACTGAGATGCCCTGAACCCTATAACCCTAATTACACCCTACTAAACCCTAAGCCCTGAACCCTAAACCGCCTACAGGTCAGAACCCGATCGTCGGAGAAGACACAGCCGCACGTCGCTTATCTGATCCAGGCCTACCGACCGGAGTGCGCCATTTGGGAGGCCGGGGCTTGTCGGATCGACCCTACAGTTCAAGCTTTAGACCTTTCGGGGGTCATGAATTCGGTTTCCTCTGTTCTTTAGGTCTCAGGGCATGGTCGGGCCTGCTAAGCTATTCCTGCCTCTCTGCAGACAGCCTGTTTAACTCGAGTTCTTGCACTCTTCCAGCACTGCACCCACGGCGTCTTACTGCAGTGACCGCCAGGTGGAGCGGCTGATTCGTAAGGCCTGCATTGGGAGGGGCTACTGACCTGCGGTGCTAGCCGGACCTGTGCCCATTTTGTGCAGCATCCGTCTCACACTGTTTGCACATGCTCCGGAGTTTAGGCTTCATGTGGGTAAAGGTCATGGTGGGACATGCATTGTCTGTAGGGTTTCGAATTCCAGAATCACCCACAGACCTGAAAAATCGCTGAAACCCTATAAACAAACGCTGATTCTTAACAATCCTAAGTCCTGAGCCATAAATCACGCAAAATCCTGAACCCAAACCATTACAACAAAACACGAAGCAGAAACCCGAAGAAGAGTTCCTGCCAGGTGGTCCTTGCGCTGATCGCCACCGTCCTGCCGGTCACTTTGTCGCCCGCGGCCTCGTCTGCACAGCAGCCCTGGGCACCCCGAAAAGACACACACACACACACACATACATACATACATACATACATACATACATACAGACATAGATACACAGATAGAGAGAGAGAGAGAAAGATAGTTATACGATAGATAGATAAACAGCTAGATAGATGGATAGATGGACAGACAGACAGACAGATAGATAGATACTTTTGATGGATAGATCGACCGACCGATAGATACGCAGTGATGGATGGATTGATTGGTAGAAGAATTGGTTTGTTGGTGCTGGTTTGTGCTGTATATGCAGTTGTTTTGCTCATTGGTGCGTCTTCGCTTACTATATGATGTATATGCAGACGCGCTAGTCTTGCTATTTGACGCGTCTTCGCTTACTAATGTGCGGTTGTTTTGCTTGCTAGTGCGTCTTCGCTTACCAAATGATGTATATGCAGACGCGCTAGGCTTGCTATTTGACACGTCTTCGCTTATTAATGTGCGTTTGTTTTGCCTATCGGTGCATCTTCGCATGCTTTATGATGTATATGCAGTTGTTGGTGTTAGTAGTAGTTTTTTTATATTCTTATTCGTATTAGCATTAGTATTCGCATGATTAGCATTGTTAGCATTTGTAGTAGAACTAGAGGGTCGAAATTGGGTTCCATGAAGGGAGTGTGCCGCCTTTGGGAAGCGGAGGCGCTTCAGATGGAAGCCGTGACTTTGGTTCTGATCGCGTCCCTGGTGGCACATCTGTACTTCTGGCCATACCAGGCGGCCTGGCTCAATCATGCGCAACTTGAGGCACCGTTTCAAGTCTTCACGTGGGCCCTTTGTGAGGCACCGTTCTAGTCGTGCCTGTTTTGTGAGTGAGGCAGATGACTGGAATCGCGCAGAGATCGGGCTCCTGATCGTGAGCCTGACCATCACGGGCATGACCACCTGCCTCATCGCTACCGGCTTGCACTCAGCGGGAGCCCTTTTTTGGTTTTAGGGTGGGGTTTGAGTGCTGCAGTTTTCACAGCTGTGAAGCGGAGGCCAACGACCTGCACTGGGCGAAGTCCACCTTGACGCAACGCGTCCTGGTCTTCCTGATTTGCTCCATTGCCGGAGACGCCCGGCTGCCGCGGCTCCACGCCGCCGTTCCCTCCCCCCTCAACTCCCTCCCTCTCCCTCCCCCTTCACTCCCTTCCTCCCAAGCTCAGGGGATCTGTGTGGTCATGATGGTGGCCTTCTCCTTGGCCTACATGGCGGAGCGGCGCCAGAGGGCCGAGGCCAAGAAGGCGGAGGAAGCGTCAGCCGCCAGGCCCTCCCAGCAGTGCAAAGTCCGTTCTTGAAAGTGAACACCTTATCGTGAAGCCGTAGAAATTTGCCTCTCCCTCATCAAGCCCTATAGAAACGATGCTTGCAGGCTGGGTCTGCAGCAAGACCAAGATTGATTGCTGAGGTGCAGCTCGGGCTTCAACCCTAAACGCCCTAAACCTCAAACCGTAAACCCCAGCGCCCAAACCCCTTATAAACCCTTGTTTGGAGGGGGCCCGGGTTTTCCAGCTCAGCGAAAAGTCCGTTTCGGGACCCCTGGGTCCTTCATGTGGGCCCTCTGTCGCCGAGAAGGGAGGCCGCGGCTGAGCTTCGCGAGATCGCTTTCTGATGGCGAAGAGCAAAAAGATGATTGGGGGGGCAAAAGCACATCCTTTCCTGGGGACGAGCTCCCTGTACCATGATCTTGTTCTTGTGGTTGGTCCTAAACCCTAAACCCTAAACCCTAAACCCTAAACCCTAAACCCTAAACCCTGGGGGGGGGGGGGGGGGTACACGGGGGCATGTTTGGGCTTCCGACTGTTTGAACCCCGCTCCGTGGCGCACTTCTCAGAGAGGCTCTTTGGGCACAGGGCTTGTTTTTTTAAATCTGCAGGCTTTTGAGGTTTAAGAAGCATGTTTTGTGAGACTTAGAAAGGAATATCAAAACATTTAGGGTTTAAGGGTTAAGAGTTTAGGGTTAAGGGTTAAGGGTTAGGGTTTAGGGACATCTCACCAGATATTTCAACGGCGTTTGCTTCATGTGGTTACAAAGGCCGGTCCCTTCACTTCCCATGATGATTATTCATTGTGACGTCCTCCGGACTTTCCTGCCGGATGCTCTAGTGCAGGTCCCACAGAGCCGCTGGCATTGCTCTCAAGCAACTCTCCGCTTGGTGTATCCAAGTTCCATATCCCGTCCACTGTAGGATCATGGCGTGATGCTGCGCTTCACCTCGCCGGCGCTCGCGGCCTTTGCAGCAGTAGTCTGTGTGGCAGTGGGTCTCAGGTCGGAGCACCAGCCGCTCTGGTGGCGCGAGCACCCAACGAGCTCGGCCGAGAAGATTCAGGAGCTGCTGACGACCAGCTTGGCGGCGGCCGGAGCCACAGCTGAGGACAGCAAGGAAGGGCCCGGCGATGCCAAGACAGAGGAGCAGACGCTCAGGGAGCGGGTTGCCTTCATCACGGAAGACTGGCAGAGCGCCAGCGCAAGTGTTTGCCATCAGCAGCTGGGGCGGTTGATGAACAATCTCACGCTTGCATGCGAAGGCTTGCGGCCGAAAGCCGACTGGCTTCTCGACTACCTTCCGGACTCCTACTTCCTCCCGAGCAAGACCTGCGCGGAGAGCGTCAGCGACATCTTTGCATTGGGGAGTGAACTCGTGGAGACGCTTCGGGTTTCTAGAGATGCTGTAGCCTCTCTCGAGGTGGACAACGAGCTACTCCGTCGATACCAAGCGCTCTCCTTTCTGAGGAGCTGGCTGGTGAATTTGACCGAGACTCGTCATCATGCGCTACTTTGGGCCGGTTTCTGGGACGGGGATCCCGAGAACCGCACGACCATGACGAAGCTCTCCAACTTTGCCAAGGCCATAGAGCACGCGACCGTGCACCCTGACAGCTTCATGGGCCAAGCCATCGAGGCGAGCCAGGTCCTGGACGCCTGCTACAAGGACCCCCAGACCAGTGCGCTTGCAGCGAACATGTGGTCAATCGCAAGCATGAGCTTCGTGCTCGGAATGCACGAAAGGGCACAGGGAACGGTCGTTGCACTGGTCAACAAGCTGATCACGGGCGAGCGTGGCTTGTCACAGTCCGTGTTGTCCACGCATGAAATCCCAACAGTGGGGCTCGCCGCCTGGGGCCTCGGGTTCTGGTCTCCAAAAGTGCTGGTCGTGGACCTCATGGGCACATGCGACAAGACGAGCCCCCGGCGCTGCAGAAGCGGCTCCCCGCCTGCCCTCATGGGCTAAAGCGGCTCAGTCAATGGCGAGCTGCAGCCCAGAAGCCTTCGCGATGAGGTCGCGGCTCCAGTGGCAGTCGACTGTTCTGGGCACTGCAACCTGAACAGGGCCTTGGCAGAACATGTGGAGAAGCTGGTGAAGGCCTCCTTTTCATAGAGCTGTGCAGTTGTTTCTTTTCTTCTTCAGGGCTCCTCTTTATGATTACAGCGGAGCCCTCAAAGGAACCCTGCTCCAAGTTGTAAAGGCCCTCAGTGTGTCTCACGGAGGCCAAAGTGGAGCAGGACCGGAAGGACGACGAGCTACACGAGGTGGGTGCCGTTAGTATACCCTAACTAAACCTTCAACCCTCAACCCTACATACATTTGTTTCAACCCCGAACCCTAAACGGCCCCAATCTTTTGGTATACCCTAAGCCCTCAACGCGAAAATAAACCCTACACCCTAAACGGCCCTATAGACCTGTAGGATGGACTTCGCGGCCAGGTCGCAGGCTGTCACCTCGCGGACCCCGCTGAGAACAGTCTCCTCACAGAGGTTTCGTTGCTTGAACATCTGAAGCATTCCCTGTACAAGCGGGGAGACGCCTTGAAGATGTTGGAGGGGCTAAAGCTGCGTGAAAATCTGATAAAGGACCAGCAACACCGACACTCGAAGGCTGAGTTTGTAAGTCAGGAGGAGCTTCTCGACAGCCCGGAGAGGCAGCTGCAGGTGGAACAACTCCTCCGCCGGAACGCCGATCCGAACGCTCCGGACCGGCTCGGCAACACAGCCCTCTTGTGCGCTGCAGCCCAAGGACACCCGGAACTGATTCAGGCCTTGCTGGATGCCGGGCGGATTCGCGCCACAGCCCGCGCAAGTGCGGAAGAGGGCCTCCAGGAGGTAGTCGAGGCATTGGAGACCGGGGCCCAGCTGGAGGCCCGCGATGAGCATGGCGACACGGCCCTCCTTGTCGCTGCAATTTATGACCGGCTGAAGGTGGTCGAGGCGTTGGTAGAGGCCGGCGCCCAGCTGGATGCCCGCAATGTGGATGGCAGAACAGCCCTCATAGCTGCTTCAAGTCTTGGCCACTTGCAGGTGGTCAAGGTCTTGGTGAACGCTGGAGCACAGCTGGAGGCTCACGATGAGTTTGGCTGCACATCCCTGATAAGTGCTGCGCAAAGAGGTGATGTCAAAGTGGTCGAGGTCTTGGTGAAGGCTGGAGCCCAGCTGGAGGCCTGCGATAAGCACGGTGGCACGGCCCTCATGTTCGCTGCACGCAGCGGCTACCAGGACGTGGTCGCGGTCTTGGTGAAGGCTGGAGCCAAGCTGGAGGCCCACGATGAGCACCGCCAAATGGCCCTCACTCTCGCGGCAAGCGAGGGCTACCAGGGAGTGGTCGGGGTCTTAGTGAAGGCTGGAGCGCAGCTGGAGGCCCGTGATGAATTTGGCAAAACAGCCCTCATACGTGCTGCGGAAGCGGGCCGCCTGAAAGTGGTCGAGGTCTTGGTGAAGACCGGTGCCCAGCTGGAGGCCCGCGATGAGCTTGGAGCCACGGCCCTCATAACAGCTGCAAGCAAAGGCCAGCTGAAAGTTGTCGAAGCCTTGCTAAAGGCCGGCGCTCAGCTGGAGGCTCACAATAAGTATCGCCACACGGCCCTGATTGTCGCTGCATTCTTCGGCTACCAGGAAGTGGCCGAGGTGTTGGTGAAGGCTGGAGCCCAGCTGGAGGCCCGTGCACTTACAATTGCCACACATGAGGGTCACCTGAAAGTGGTTGAGGTGTTGGAGGAGGCCAGTGCCCGGCTGGATGCCGGCAATGTGGATGGCGAAACAGCCCTCAAAGCGTAGGCACAATGCTTTGTCTAGTGGCATGCGCGTTAGAAAGAAGGCGCATGGGGGCAGTTCTTCCATACTGTGTGCTGTCCATACTCCGAAGCAGAGCAGTGGTGACCTTAAAGTCAGTTTTTGAGACTCCCTGCCACTTAGTGTGTTTAGCTTCAAGGCTTGCGCACATTCTATGTCTAATGAACTCCCTCAGAAAATCCTGAAAATTCCCTTTGTTAGCTTCGAACCAGGTAACGCGCCCCCCGAGTGTTCCCGACTGGTCCTCCGCCTGTTCTCCACTCGGCCCCTTCCTGTTACCGACCCTGGGGCAGGGCCGCAGGGCCTCGACGCTTCGCCATGCGCCTTTGCGGTGGCACCGCTCAGGCCCAGGGTTTAGCGGCTTAGGAGTCATTTGGGAGTGGTTTAGGGTTTTAGGGGTCTACTGGATTAGGACCTGTGGTGGCCGTAACTGTGATGAAGGAGAGAGTGATACAAGGATGAGTATGATCATCGCGATGCCACTGCAAAGGCAGTTCTGAGGATGAAGGTTGCGGGGCCTGTTTGTGCCATTGCTGTGGTATGATGATGAAAACGAAAGAAGAGTTAAATAAGATAGCCTGGGCAAGTATATGGAATAGTATTCCTTAGAGTTCTTTGTTGTAGCTGTTAAATATATCTATACTCTAACGACTGTCCCCCCAAACCCTCGTCTAATTACTGAGGCCTTCGGACCCCTATACCACAGCGCACCGCTCCCTTCATGGAGCCCTTTTTATATGTCGTTTAAGCGCTCTCTTTGAAGGACACAAAGCAGCTACCAGGACTCACCGGCTTTCACTTCTGTTAAAGCGAACCCTGCAAAGCCTAAGAAGGCTGGGGATGCCAAGGACCTAAGGCTCGAAGTGTTTTAGGGTTCAGGGTTTAGGATTCAATATGGGTTTAGGGTTTAGGGGTCTGGGCCCCCTAGGTTTTAGGGTTTGGGGTTTGGGATTTAACATGGCCCTTGAGGCCTTCTCGGGGGACTCTAAAGGACCCGTAATGGTACATATAGGGTATATAGTACGGATATGATAAGGATCCGAGGGTTAAGGGCCCACAAATCGCCCAATGGTTTCAAACTTGGAAAGGCAGAAACAGAATGTCTCCATCTGAACCATCCCCTAATGTAGGCGCCTTAAGAATCGGAGCAGGGGCTGATAAGGGTTCCTATAAGGCTTCAGTAGGAAGGGCTTGTAAGACCCTAAAAGCCCCAAACTCCCAGCTGACTCTGAGAGGTTCGATCAGATCCAGGAAGACATGACGACGCCAGCGGCTTTGGCGCTGTTTAGGGCTGGATGTCGGGATGAAGGCTTTATAGGGCGTAGTAGGGTCCGAGAGGTGCAGGGGTTGAGGGATTATGGGGTCTAGGTCTTGTTATAGGGTTTCAGCTCAAATTTGGAGTTTTTTGGGCTTAGGGGCTTCGGCTTTGTTACAGGGTTCAGAGCTCAGGTTTTCAGGATTTTCGGGGTGAGTGGGCGCTGCAGGCTTCCCGAAAATCGAACTTCTGAAAGCTCTCTTAAGAGCCCTCCGCCTTGAAAGGGTCGAACACACCCCCACATCGAGGGGGAAAATAGCTGTTGTGGTGTAGAGACTAGGGCATATTAGGGTGTATTAGGGTACATTAGGGTATGCTTAGGGCTGAACTCGAAACCCCTCCACAGCCCCCCTCCGGGAGGCCGCCGCGCTCGATGCAGAGTCGAAAAGGCCGAGCTGTCGAGCTCTGAACGGAAAAAGAGAAAAAGCTGGGTGGGTTTAGGGTTTAGGGTTTAGGGTTTAGGGTTTAGGGTTTAGGGTTTAGGGTTTAGGGTTCAGGGGGTGAGGGTCGAGGGTTCATGGTTTAGGATTCAGGGTTTAGGGGTTCACGGCTAGGATGGAGTGGCAAGGTGGCCGAGCTCGACAGTGCTCGGGGTTCGGGGGTCTAGGCGGTATTACCAAATACGCACGACGCGCCTGGCTGCCCGTAGTCCTCGAACCCCAAGGACCGAATGAAACCCTAAGCTCTGGAGCCTCAGGGACCCTAATCCAGGCCCTAATCCCTGCCTTCTTGACCCTAAACCCTAAGACTAGACCCTAACATGAAGCCTCAACCCCTGAACACCCGCAAAGCACCCTCTTCCAACTTTACCGCGGCCTCAGACTCTGAGGCGCGTGTTTTTCAAGTTCTTTCAGAAAGTATCCTTAAACCGACAACCACTCCACGAAATTAGAGGGGTAGAAGCGCCAGAAGGGGAGTTGACTTGGGGAGTCGTAGCAGCAGCAGTCGCAGCTGAGTGAACTTCGGCCTGGCACACTCCCCAAACCTTAAATCCTAAACCCTTTAGGATTTAGGGTGTAGGGTTTAGGGCTGAGGGTATGGCAAGGGTTTAGGGTTCTTGGGTTCAGGGGTTCAGGGGTCGTAGAGATCCCGAAATCTGGAAGTCAAGAGGAGGATCGGCTTACAACATCACTCTGTTTTTTGTTCCCGACAACCTTTCTTTGGCGCCCCAGGGCACAGCTTGTCTCATCCTGGGCATTACAGCAGGGGTTCCGAAATGGGGCACTAGTAGGGTAAGATACATATAGGGGTGTACAGTCCCTAGATATACTTGTACTATGACATACCCAAAAGCCCTATTTTTCTGATCAAGTCCCGTATCGTGCTACCGTGGGCGCAGAGTAGGCAACTTTAACACCTATACCGCAGACCTCCGGATCACTGCAGCTGTCAGGGTGCGATCTTCGTTAGCTGCACTCAACAGTCTGTGTAGGAGAGTCGCTACTTTTTAGGTGGTCCACAGACTCCGTCCGGATTTCAATCATTCTACCGAGACCCTGAGCTGTCGCACCTTCGTTTCGGCTACCAAGCCTTATTCTAGGTCTACCCTAAAATCTAAACAACAAAATTGGTCATCCCAACAAGTGTGCGGCAGCTCAGGGTCTAGATCCGTGCTTCGTGGAGCCTCATCGATTGGAGGGAAGAAGAATGCAGCCTTCAATCATTCAGCGTGTTGTGATAAGGTACCTAAAACCTAAGCCCTAAACCCAACTCCTCTCAAAGTGGACTGCAGTCTCCAAGGGTTTCATAGATCTCCCGCTGCGGACATGGTCGTGTCCTATGACTCGGGCGCCGAGGGGAGCACGTGGAGCTTCTTTACCATCACACCCTTCCTTCTCTTTAAGGTTCGCCACCGGGATGGCATCAGGTTTAGGGTTTAGGGTTTAGGGCTTAAGGCAAGACCCCTATCAACGCCAAACCCCCAGGAACCCAGATCCGACACCCTTAATCCTAAGCCGCTGTTTCAAGGGAACTATGATGTCGGTATTAGAGAATTGATGCAGGAACTTGGGCTGACTAGGCAGTCATTGGTGGGTTTCGAGGGTCGTTCGAGCTTTGCTGCCTTTAGGATTGGGGTTTGGGTTCAGGGTTTCGTGTTTAGGTTCTAGGTTAGGGTTTAGGGTTTAGGGTTCATTTAACCGCTCATGATGCTAACCTCTACCTGTGATCCGATGGCCGACTGCGTTGAGGGTTTAGACCCAGTCTGGTGCCACAACCGACAATGTTGCAGGTGGTGCCCTACCAGAACCCTCTGCCCGCCTTTCTTGAAAGCAAACAACGCTTATAGAAGCCTTGTAGAGCTGCTACAGACGCCCTTCTGGAACCTGTATGGAACGCTGTCACAGCTCCTTCTTGCGGCTTCAGGCTGCGAAAATTTTCGAAGTCGGTGTGTATGCGGTGAGACGACCGGGTCTGTCGAAAGCCCGAAGCACTAAAAAAATTCAATCTCAAGCCTGGGACCTTGGCAAGACCCGAGACCGACGATCCCGTCTCATGACCCTAAACCGTAAAATCACCACAGCCGCGGTGTAGACTAGCCTGAAGACCTCACCTACCCACACTCCATACTGCTTTATGCTTATAAATATACCACGTTCATACCATACCTATATTGACAGCACTAGAAGAGGGCCTCAGAGTCAAAACGTGGGTTTGGCGAGTTGCTAAGTTAGTGCCTACAAGGGTTTGTAAGGTTTTTTATTTGCGTTTGCTCAGTGGTGCTTCGTAGACTGTGGGTACCCCTGGTTTGCGGTTCTTGTATGAGGGACCCCCCCCCCCCGCCAGCTGAGGTGGGTCCATCGTTCCGAGCCTCATTCCACAGCTCATACTCATGGAGGGCCTGTCGGTGCTTGCTGTCTATCTGCCACCCGCCCGCCTAAACCTTACACCCTAACAAGGGCACTTTTCTGTTCAGACCCCGAATTGTGATGTATGCAGTAAGTAGATGATCGGTTCTCTGTTTATGGTTGCTGCTTGAACGTTTCCGTACATGCAGGGGTTATCGGGGCCATTGGTCTTTTTGTTTGGGGAGTGTTTATATGGCTTCTCAGGAAAATGGTGAGTGGGTGTTGTTTTTAATAACCGTAGTGATAAAACCCCTACTGCACATGGCTTTGTTTTAAAGTTAACAAGATGCCCTAAACTCTGAAAAGCGGGCCCCAAATCCAGCACCCCTCTGTGTTACGACTATTTGCCAAAAAAACACACACACACACACACACACAAGATAATCATCCCCATACTGCCCTTCTAAGGAATAATGTTCTGAAATTTGTGGGGTGTTCTTCAGCTTACACGCCAAAAATGCAAGCTAAAAATCCCTATATTGCCTTAATGAAGGATCTGTTTTTTCTTTGTTTGTTTTTTCTTTCTTTTTTTTTTTTGGGGGGGGGGGGGGGGGGGGGGGGGGGGGGGGGTAGGGATGGGTCTGAAGCAAACAGTTATGAAAGTTATGAATCTCTCCCCACTTGGCCTCAGGGCAGAAGAGGATCCCAACTTCGGCGAGGCACCGTCTGAGATCAGGGTTTAGCGTTTGTGGTTTCATTCGGGCTTAGGGTTATTAATCCCGCATACGAAAGCCCGAAACTCAGGAGAACACTGTTCCGGTTCATAGTAGTTCGTATGTTAGGCATTGAAGAACGCGGCAAAGTTTCTATATGCGTATATGCGCGCATTTTAGTTGTAGAGTAGGAGCTTTGCGAAACGTCTTAGGGTTAGCCCTGTTGGGATTGCACGGGGAAGTCGCTACTACTTGGCAGAGTTTGGTAGATTTAAGGGACCGATGTTCAGATTCGGACACGTTTTGAGTTTAAGTTGTAGTGTGCCCTGGAAGCCTATCTACCACTGTAGTAGGTGATTGTCCCTGCACAGCCATCGCAGAATTACCACCGTGTTGCTAGCTGGGCTCTTACGGGAAGTTCCGCACAGGAGCTTAGGGCATGTTTGGTGTACGGCAGCGGCTGTTAAAATCCGGTCTTCATCCTCAGGATGAGAATTGCTGTGCCTGAGCTCTGCTCTGCAAACCTGTCAGGAGTTTCCGGCGCCGCTCATTTCTGAGCCCTGAACCCCTAGAGCCCTAAGCCCGCAGCCGCTGGAAGATTCGAGGAAGCCAAACCCCTAAGCTCCCTAAGCCCTAAAGCCCTAAACCCTAAACCCCCCTAAGCTCCCCAAACCCTAAACCCTAAAGCCCAGATGCTCCTACGAGAGGCGGCGAAGTCAGGAACGGCACCATTGGCAATCCTGCTCCTCCGCACGGTAATAACTGGGGATCAGCACAGGGCCAGGGGCCTGTTGACTTGCATACATACACATACACATACACATACACATACACATACACATACACATACACATACACATACACATACACATACACATACACATACACATACACATACACATACACATACATGCACATATGAGTAAGTGACTATGTAAATGCTGTGTATTCACGTGCTCTTATTTGCAGCATTTACATGAGCCCGCTTGCGTGGAATTCAATAATACAGCGTAAGTCCTAGAGCGCCGTTCGCAGGTTGCAGGATCGGGTTCCGCTTTCCCTGAGGACGAGTCCTAAGAGTGCATGTGCCCATATTGTGTTTTTCCATTCTATACGCTTGCTAGCTACATGGGCCCTTATCAGGGAAGTCTGTTGGTGAGCTTTAACCCCTTCCCCCCGATTATTAAACGAGGGGGGCCAATGAAGACTCGAAAAGTGCTTTTACTGTCTGGGCGTGTTTCTTTTGGTTTTTGCCCCTAAACCCTAAAGACTTCAAAATCCAGAGAAGTACCCAACCGAAGCCTTGCCGGCCGTGTGCGAGTGTGAGAGTCGAAGCCGTAAACCGTCTTATCTCTATTGTCAGATTGTGGGAAGAGGATCTTGCTCCTTCTCTGGCCCTTGCTCCTGCTGCAGCTCTTGCTCCTGCTCCTGCTCTCTTGATCTCTTACACCCTGATTCAAAAGAGGCGTTACAGGCAGGGATCATTTTTAGGGTATTTTCCGGAAGGCGGTTTCCTTTCCTGGGGGGGGCTGTTTAACAAATTTGGGGGGGGGGGGGGGGGGGGAAGTGACTTCTGCTAAAGATGCATGTGCAGGTACTGCAGTCGTCGGGATGAGGGATGAGTCAAGCCATCCACCATCAACCTCTCAAGCAACCGCTTGCTCCAAAGCGTTTTGGATGAACAGCCTGAAAGAAGCAAGGTTGTCTTTCCTGCTGGTCCTCAAGACGTACCTTGGCGCTTTTTCGGAGAGAGAAGCTCGCAATGCTCGGTAGCCCGAGGGGTCCATGTACCTGAATAATATATTGGGCCTTAAAGTGGCTCCTATAGAAGATCCTTGAAGGCCAATGCCTTTACTTATAGGTACATGGACCCTTGGGGTAGGAATGTCAGGTGTGTTGCCTTCTGTTTGAGCTTGTAGCTTGGCTATGACTGCTATCCTCTTGTGGCTTCGGGTTTCGGGGCTCAGGGGGGTCAGAGTTAAGGATTCAGGGTCTTTCGTTGGAGTCTCGGTGGTACCCGAAACCATCCGAAACCCCAAGCCCGCAAGTACAGGCAGGAGGCGAATAAGCAGTTCTGGGAAGCAATCTCTGACCTCACGATGATGTGCCACTTACTGCGCAGCATTGCCATGACCATTTGTGGAATGGCCACTGGGTCTCCCAGCAGTAGCCTCTTGCACTTTTTTGATCTTGGGGGTTCTCCTTTCTTGAGTTAAAGGGTACCCTTATACTGGGCCACTGAAACAACCTAGGTTGCTTGGGAGGTCGATGCGGAGGTTCAGGTGCACGCCAAGAGGGTGATACGGCTGCTGGCGCTCTACTCCCTAGCCGTCCGGGAGTTCTTCCAGCGCACTGGCAAGAATGCCACGACGAGTTCGGAACAGATGGACCGACTACGACAAGATGTGGCAGCATTGGCAGGTGATACAGAATGGTCCATTCTGTATCCTGGAGAAGACAAGCGTGTCTCAGGCTCGACTTCCTCCCATGACACCACTCGACCATCCATTATTCTCTTTTGGGTCACGCTCTCCCTGCGTAAGATCATGGACTACAAAGCAAAATGGCTCTACAATCATTTTTCGCAGTTGGTTCCTGTTTTCGTAAATGGCAATTTGAAGCTGACGCACAATGGTGTCTAGTTGCCACCGAGACGAGACCCTCTTCACCCACTCAGGCAACCGAAGCACCAATCATGAATGGTTTGCTCACGCAGCTGGCTGCCGTGGGCTCCTGCTTCTGGAATATGGACAAGATTGACAAGACGCAATTTCCATTTCCGTACTGCCAGGTTGTGTGGCTGGGCTTGGACAATAACCCCCCTGAACCCCGAACAGTTCACTGTACTGGGCGTTGTGAGAGGGTGTCGCTCACGTCAGGAAATGGCTCACGATCGTTTTTCTCGGCATCCTTCCCTTTAGCATTGCCGGAGTCTGCGGCTGGTGGACACTACTGTTCTCGGCAATTGCAGCAATTGGCTTCCTGGCATCAGCATTCCTGACCGAAAGGCAACTGTCGTGCCAGTAGTAATCAAGAGGTCATAAAGCGGTGGCAAGTACTAACAATAATGCTTGCAAGAGTAGTAAGTAGAAGTGGCAGTGGTAGTGGCAGTAGTCGTCGTCGTCGTCGTAGCAGTATTAGTAGTAGTAGTAGTAGTAGTAGTAGTAGTAGTAGTAGTAGTAGTAGTAGTAGTAGTAGTAGTAGTAGTAGTAGTAGTAGTAGTAGTAGTAGTAGTAGTAGTAGTAGTAGTAGTAGCAGTAGTAGTAGTGGTGGTGGCGATGGCATTTGAGCAACGCACAAGCCGCATTGATCTTGGCAGGCCCAGAAGAAAGAGTTCCAAACGAACCATTTAAGCGAGAGTCATGGCAACCATAGAAACACCGAGTGCGCGTTTTGGATCCTGCTCAAACATGGCTACGGATACAACCCTAAACCCTAAACCCTAAACCCTAAACCCTAAACCCTAAACCCTAAACCCTAAACCCTAAACCCTAAACCCTACACCCTAAACCCTAAACCCTGAACCACAACATGAGCACGCCAGGTTTCTTTGGCTTGGATGAAGTGGCTGAGATCCTCGAGTCGCCATTTGGGAATGACCCCAATGACCTCGACCTACGTGAATATTGCGATGCTTCTTAGCTTTGGTTGAGGGTCTTAAGGGGTTTGGGGGGTTTGTGGCTTCGGGGTTTACCATAAAAGTCGAGTCGTTCCATATTTCAGTCGTAGGGTAGTGATTTTTGCAGGTTTGTTGGCGTGAGGTTGGCTGTGTTTTGGCTGGCTTGTCTTGCAAGTCATATGGAAGTCGGAACAACTACTAATCGTATCACCCTATTGTAGTTAGAGCATAATCTACCCGAAAACCCTATTCGAATTACTAAAGCCCCCAAAACCAGGGGCCAGGGGAAACGGTCTGTTTGTTGTTGATGCGGCAGCAGGCTCTGATGTCAGACATGGAACTCATATGCCAGTGTCGAGAGTTGAAGCTGGACTTCGTTCTGAAAGAGAACGAAAAGGTCGACTTCTCCCATATGCTGGCGGACTTTGACAAACAGAAGCAGTTTCATCAGCATTTCAAACGGCTCCTCAGCCTCAACTCAGGGACCCTAATGCATGGAAAGGCGCATCGATAAGTTGGGGCACGCTGCAGGAAAGACTCAACCAAGTACCCTATTTTGTTTAGAGGTGCTTATACTGTAGGCTTCAGCGGTGTTCAGGGTTTAGGGTGTAGCTTCAGGGTTTAGGGTTCAGCTCTAGGGTTTCAGGTTTAGCCCGGATGCAAAAAGAGGTTGAGGTTATAAGCCATAAGGGCTTAGGGTTTGTAATCCAGAATCCTGAAATTTGTCCATGTGATACTGTTCCGTAATTATATTTCTACCATCCTCGCCCCATAGCCTTCTTCTGCCATATTTAGGGTTTAGGGTTTAGGGTTTAGGGTTTAGGGTTTAGGGTTTAGGGTTTAGGGTTTAGGGTTTAGGGTTTAGGGTTTAGGGTTTAGGGTTGGGCCCCTCCTTACAGCACGGGCAACTGCAACAGAAATGATCCGGGGCAGCTCAGGCAGCCCCTTGAAAGGCAGCACAGGGTTTTCGGGTTTAGGGTTTAGGGTTTTCGGGTTTCGGGTTTAGGGTTTAGGGTTTAGGGTTTAGGGTTTAGGGTTTAGGGTTTAGAGGGTTTAGGGTTTCGGATGCTAACACAACCTGTCCGAGAGGGCAAGGTTTAAGATAGTCAGGAGTGAGGCCGTATTAGTTTGTAAAGCCCTTTCAGGCCAGTCGAAACCCCTAAACCCTCAAGCTACTTGTAAGAAGCCACGCCAGCCCGAGTCCAGGACTCCATACTGCACCCCCAAGAAGAACCGGTGAATCCAAGAGCCTATTGTTTGATATAAGGCAAGGCAAGGGTTAAAGTCGATCATGGGGGCCGTTCGGGGGTTCCATGTTGCCCTGTTGGTGCCTTTTTGTTTGCTGGGCCTTTTTTGACATTTCCCTTGCATTTCAGGCAATCTGTTGCCTTGGCAAAATCGAGCGACCTCTCACGCGATGGTGAGTCACCAGAGGAGGCCGGACTTGCAATCTCACGGCCTGTTGTTCAGTCGCAGCGCGGCACGTACTCATATTCGCGCTCTTGCTCTGGAATGGGCTGGTTGCCAGTCTCGTTACTGTCATGATACATGATGCGATGGCTACAGCTGTCATTGCTTTGCCCTGCTGTAGCTCTTAATTAGCCCTGATCCCTCACGCACTCAAGCAGCACAACCGCAAACCACAACCGCAAACCAAAACAAGTCGGTTCATGTTCAGGTGTCTCTCTTCTGTTCCCCAAAAGCCTAAAAGCAGAGAGCTCTGCTTAGAAAGCTTCCAAAGTACCCTCAACAGAAGGGGATGGCCTAAACGCAAGAGAGTTTTTTCTGATTGTTGAGGTCACTTGTGGCTCGTCTGGATATAGGGCTTCACCCGGAACTCCAAATGCTTAAGCCTGAACCGCACAGAAGCTGAGAAGCATCACCTCGACTCTCTTAGACTCTCAACCCTCAACCCCTAAATCCTCAACCTGAAAATCGCCCCTTAAACTCTAAGCCCCGAACCCCTCAACCCCGAATCGACAACGCCTTGAACCTTACACCCCGACTTCCTAGCCCCCTAAACCTGCCACCCCAAATCCAAAGTGCCAAAGCCAAGCCTGAAGCCCCACCAGGATCCCCAAGTAGCTCTTCTGGCCCCTAATGAGAGGTAATTAGGGTTTGGGGTGGTAATGAGGGTAACGAGGGTACATGGCAGAACCCAGAAAGTAGAAGTCTCCTCATGCCCCAAACCCCTAAACCCTAAACCCCTGGCAAAAGGACCCCAAACCCTAAGCCCTAAACCCAAACCCGAAACTAAGAGAGTGTACTTGGCGGGAGGGTCTAGGTAAAGCCGGTACAGCCTCAAGCCGAAGCCGCTCCGACCCTCTTCGTGAAGTTTTAGAGGCCCCAAGAACTCGAGTCGGGGTCGCGTTAAGGGGGTCCCGACTCAAGGGATAGTATGAGTGCGTAGCAGACTGATAGTATGAGGGCGTAGCAGACTTTGTAGCTATGCTAGGGTTTGGTTGTGTTTTTTTTGATGCAATACTTATGCAGAGACTTCAAGGGCCGCTGGGGTCTTACATCACAACCCCGACAAGCTGAAGGATTGCTTGGGGAGCCCTAATCCCCAAACCCTAAACCCGATGCAGAGGCTGGCAGCCCCGAGCCAAAGAAGGATGATGGCATCCGGGGAGAAGACCTGGATTCTGTGATGCCCGGAGCTGTCCACACGTAACGGTGGTCCACAGGGGTTTCGGGTTTTGGCGCACATGTAGATGCAACAGGTTCCGCCCTATACTTATGGCAGCATATTTTAGGTTCATAGGAATTTCAGGCTTAGAGGTTCAGGTTTAGGGTTTAGGGTTTAGGGTTTAGGGTTTAGGGTTTAGGGTTTAGGGTTTAGGGTTTAGGGTTTAGGGTTTAGGGTTTAGGGTTTAGGGCAAGGAGTCCAGTTGCAAAAGGGTGAGTGGGTTTTCGAGTTTAGGACCAGCTTTTCGGGGCAACTTGGAGTCTAGTTTTCTGTTAGAATGTCGCCGCAGCTTCTCCTTTTTCTAAAGATTGCAGTATCCGGCCCTTCCTCTATCCCAATACCAGAAAACCCCACCCTAAACTCTAAGCCCGAATTCGATCCAAAGTTGTAGAGCCCTACGGAGTGATCAGGAACAGCATGCGCCTCATAGTCCTTACATCAGTCTACGATGATATACTGCCCTGCCCATTCTAACTAGTAAAGGCGCCTATACTACCATGAGAGGACCTCCAAAAAAAAGTTTCTACTTGTTAACGCCCCTAGATTTTGCAGGGCCGAGGTTTCCCCCGAACCCAGGCGTGAACCAGAAAGTTTCTGCCTGGTACATCGCTGGTTCTCTTGATTGGGGTTCAGGGTGGGGTTGGGGTTGACCGGGACTCTCAAGTGCCCTGTAAATGGGCCCTCATAGTCCCTGATAGATGCTACTCCGGGCGCAGTGCGGGCAGTTGGGGAGTCTACAGGGTTGAGGGTTGTCGGGTTGAGGGTTTTATGGTTTCGCTGCATAAAAGCAGGAGAACGTGAAACGCCGGAAGCATGAATGTTGCCTCCACAGTGCAGGTACATGTACAGAGAGAGGAGTGCGCACAAAGCTTGCGGGATTCATCAGGTTTCCAGGAGCGTCACATGCACACCCCTGGCTGCAGCAGCGCCTGAACTTGAACTGTGGCTTGGAGAAAAAGCTGCAGGTCTTAGGGAAGCTCGTGAACCTGAATGTAGGTTCCTGATTGATATACGCTTTTTTCTTCAAGGGTTTTAATATAGGATCCCTTTGCATTTCCTAAGCCGTACACTCGGCCCGATTCCCGAGACCGCATTCGTCAGAAGTCTACTTTCTGACCTCCAGCCGAGCACAACCCCTGCCCAAAAAAAACCCCAAACTCACTCTCAAGAGTCTCAGGGTGTCAGCAAGATCCTACTAAACGTTCAACTGTAGGGTTTGGGCTTAGGTTTTCGGTGATGGGTCCGGGTTTTCGGGTTCAGGGTTTAGGGTTGTTAGGGTTGTAGGGTTTTGGTCTTTGGGTTTTAGGGTTTCAGGGTTTTAGGTGTTAGGGTTTTAGGGTTTTGTGGGCTTTAGGGTTTATGGGTTTACGGGGTTAGAGTTTAGTTACACGAAGCTTCGTGTTTTGGACGGCGGCCTGAAAGAGATCGAGTTTCGTTTTTTTTGGACCGTAGCCCTTGAAAGGCAAGGAATCCAAAGAGGAATCGTGCTACACTGCAGGATCTACCTGAACCTCAGAAGACAAGGTTCGTTTTATGGGGTTCCGGTAGTCTCATGGGGATCCTCCGTTTGATCTTCGGGCCCCATGTTCCTAGACCCGAAGCCCAAAATTTCTTGATCCCTAGCCCTAAGCGCCACAATCACGAAACTCTACATCCTACATCCTTCAACAGCCACGCCGATCATCTTGTATGGGGATGGGTTTAGGGATGGGTTTAGGGTTACTGAGGGAACCCCTCGGAGCCCACAGCCACTGAGGAATCCTTGTAGGGTGTCCTGTCCCCAGTTTGTTTAAGTGTTGGGGAGTCCTTGCTAGAGTCCTTGCTGGAAACTGACCCATTGACAAGCAGGAATACGCCTTCAAGCTTGAAGGAACCTTGAGATGCATTCTCACTCGATCTTCTCTCAGGGACAGACTCATCAAGCAGAAGTCATCAACAAAAGCCCAGACACCCCCTCACCCAGACGCCACCCGGACGACCCAACTCCCACCAACCCAAAAACTCTGATTGATCCAACTAGCCCGGAGCACCGAAGATTTGACATCCGCCTTTTGCCCCTGCATGGCAGATGATGAGGACGACGAGGACATACGAGGACGATTGGCGAGGTTGAGGTTTGAAGAGTTCACCCCTCAGCCTTCAACTGTCAACCCGAAACTTGAGACCCTTATAAGTCCTAAACGCCGAATATCGAAGCCGCCCGATGAAAGTAGCGCGGGAGAGGAGGCATGATGTGATGAGACTGAATACTTGCAGAAACATCGACGCCATGCTGAATAGCTGAACCAAACAAGGTCTGTCGCCTTCTGGGCCGGCTGTCAACTGAGAAGCCCCGCTCCTTGTCCAAGCACCTCCCACATGCTAACACTAAACCTCGAAATCTACAAAGCCTAAAGACTGAACCCTCAAGGACATCCGAAATCCGAAGCCCCACAATCGAGCCCTATGCCTTGAAGTCAAAATCCGAAGAGAATGGCAGAGAATGGGACCAGGGTTGTTCAAAGGATCCAAACTCCCCTCAGGTCGTACCCCTAACGGCTTGCCTTCATGATCGCTTCTCCGATAGCTTACAGCCGACTGGCAGATCACCTCGAGATGTGCACCAATAAATGAAAGCCCTGTGCCTGGAGCATCGGCGGCAGTACTTGCATGCAACCCGAGACCTCAGGGTTTTGGGAACACTCCTTAAAGAGACTGAAAGCCGCAAGCTTTCGAGGAGCGCAGGCTGTCACGGATGCGGCGTAGATGCCACTCCCAGCGGCTGGTCCGAGGTGCCAGGGAGGCGAGCCCAGGAGTGAAGGGCGATTCTGCTATTTGGGGTGCGGGGGTCAGGGTTCCACATTTTTCGGTCCAGGGCATGGGGTGCATAGCGCGAAGGTTTTTCCGGTTACGATGTTTGAGCTGGCAGAGGCATTGCAGGCCGCCAAAGGGTTTAGGGCTTCGTATTCGCACGGTTCAAAGTGAATTTAGTGTTGGGAGTTCGGTTTAAGATCTCCGCCATGGGGAACTAAGATACCCTGTGCGCCTCCTGCAGCCACTCGCAGTCTGACAAACTATGTGCATTGCTCCTTGCATGCTTATTCTGGGGCGGAGGGCAGTATTTCCGGGCCCACGGGCCCAGCGGGGGCAATGCCACGTGCCGCCATGACGTACAGGAAGCTAGTTGTTGTAGGGGTTACGTGATTTTGGCCAGCTTCTGTGAAGGAAGGTGGGTTAGTGAGCCAGCCATGCTGAACATGGCTCCCGTTCTTCTGGCGCTTTGCAGTATGTCTCTGCTGGGCGCTGTGCGTTATCCGAAGGCCGACGGAAGCTGTGAGCATCGAATGGGAGCTGAGGGTCTCAAACTGGTGGCCTTTGCCACGATGCAGTAACCGCGTGAAGTTCGATGTCCCTTCCCTGAGCCTCCCAAGGAAGCTGAAGCTGAGTGCTGTGTTTGGAGATTGGATGGGCAGGTCTCCGACTGGACGCTGTTGCCAGACCAGGCCGTGTCGCTTACACGTCGTCGGATGCATTGCTTTCTGTATGACAATGTAGCTAATCTGGCGCGTCAATGTCATTCATGGTGTTCGCCACATGGTCCGTGGAGCGCTTCCTACTCACTTGCATTCTTGACTAGCATGCCCATTGTCCAGAGCCCAGCCGTGCAGCAGCATTGAATAGCCTTGAGCGATGGGCAAAACCTGTGCTACTGCGTGATGTCTCTAGTCTCTCTGGCCTCAAAAACAGCTTTTCGAGCTCACGCAAGCCCGGTGTAACTTAACACGAAATTGGCGACCGCCAAACAGGTGTAATTCAGGATGCATCATGGGGTTGTCATGAGTTCGAAATGACTTGTGCTGATGGCAGCAGCTTACGAAACATTCTCGGTGACATTTGCCTTTTGTAAAGTCCAAGAGTGCTAGGCTGTTCAAACCTGGCCCCAAGTGATGTAACATGATGAAAACACAATCCCAGGCGTTCGAATAAATAGACTTGTGTTTAGCTTGTGTTTAGGAGCGTTTAGGAGCCATCAGATTCTCGAGGAAGTCCTGAAGCCGCGATTCATTTGACGTCATCGCATGTCGAAGCTTCTCCTTCTTCCAGAAGCTTTGTAAAAGACCCTTGCAAGCGATAACGACACCTGCAACGCTTTGTCAGAGGTCCGTTTCTTGAATTTACCGCTGGCTCAAGCCCATCCCCATCCGGGTAGCGCAAGGACGGCCATCATCGCTTGCTTGGCGCTATGGGGAGCCGCTGGTGGATTGTCCTAAATGTGCAAGCCTTGCTGGTTTGCGGATCACTGAACACCATCACCCAGAAGAGACTTGCCAGAAGACAGAGCAGCTAGAGAAATGTTGCGGCAGCAATGGGGCCTGCTTGTGTCAGAGACCGCCCCAATGCTGAGGGTGGTGTTCAGTATGTCTGGAACTGCAGATGGCCAGACGGAGAGATTCGAGAAGCCGTGGGTGATGACCTTCATTGCGCCTGTTGCCCGCAATAGAATTTCAGGCCTTCCGCTGGCAACGCTGCAAATCGCAACATGCAACTTGCAACCTACAGCTGGAACCAGGTGATGCCCAGGGTGTTTTTCCCGAGGCTACGTTGCACTACATCACTAGAGTCTCGTGATTGGCATTGTCAGTACTAGACTAGTACTCTCATTGTTACTTTGGCTATTACTCTTGCTAATTTCTTTTACTAACCATTACTATTGCTATTGCTATTGCTATGATTATTACTGTTGCTATTGCTATTGCTATTGCTATGGCTATTGCTATCCCTATCACTATCACTCTCATTATTACTATCGCTCTTATTACCATTACCATTTCCATTTCCATGTCCATTTGTATTACTAGTACTATTACTATTGCTATTGCTATTTCTATTGCTATTGCTATTGCGATTACCATTATTACTACTAGTACTGTTTCTGTTACTATTACTATTACGATTGCTATTACTATGGCTAAGACTAATACTATGACTGTGACTATGACACGTCCGGGGCGATGATGTTCACCATCTGCGCCTGGCCTCCAAAAGGGATGACAAGAAGTGAATTGACTTCGATCAAGAAACGGAGGGTGCGAAGATGTGGGGTCGGGTCGGGTCAGCACAAATGCCGCCCGCGTGGCTCTGTCTTGGACCAGTTATTTCCTCTTGCGGGCTCCTGCACCCAAGGTTTGCCTCGATGATCCTGGCTCTTCTCTTTGACAGAGGCAGCTTGCTGCATCAGTTTTCAGAGCCGAAGCTGCCTCTCGCGCAGGCACGTGGACTTGCTCACCGAAGCCGGGAAAGCTATTGAAGGTGATCAAAGTCATGGTTCCAGCCTTCTTTGACGTCCTGGGGACGGGGCTGTGCTGTCACCTGGCTCAAGACAGGGCTCCAAAGGCGGCAGTCTTAGCTGTGCAGCTGTGCTCAGTCAGCGCCGGAAGGCATGGGCTTCCTCTTCATGCCCGCCAGCGTGTGGCAGCTCTTCTTGCAGAGTCTGCTTTGTAGGGGGCCGTCGTGGGGGAGCTTCAGAGCTGCCTAGCCCTGCAGGGCCCTGCAGGGCTTTGCAACACACTATGTCTGCTAACAGGGCATTTGCGACTCTTGGAGGTTGTTTGTGCGCAATTCATGTGCAGGGATCCTTTGGTTTTCCATTTTTTGTTTGTTTGTTTTTTTTTTTTCTCTCTCTCTCTCTCTCTCTCTCTCTCTCTCTCTCTCTCTATGTGTTCATTTTTAGGTTTTTACAGGCAAGCACGCAGGGAGGCAGGGAGGGACGCAGGGAGGGAGGGAGGAGGGAGCGAAGGAACGAAGGAAGCCCGCGAGCAAGCGTGCAAGCGAGCAAACGACCCTATGGCGTGAACCCTGAACTTGAAACCCAAAAACAACAACCCTAAACCCTAATCCCCCACATCACTAAACACCTAGATCCCTGTGCCCGAGACCCTAAACCCTAACCCCCAGACCCACAACCCTAAACCCCAAACCTAAACCCAACCCCAAAGCCCCTGAAACCCTCAACCCCTAAACCCAAAACCTCTAAACACCTAAACCCCTATAAACCTTAACGCCTAAACCCCAAAACCCTGAAGAACTGAACCCGAAACCCGAGATTCAATACCCAAACCCTTGACCCTAAAACCTAGAACCTGAACTGAAAACCCCTAAAACCCCACGGTTAGGAGACCTAAGAACCAAACCCGAAAACACCCCAGACCCTAAACCCGAACCCCCTAAACCCCGAAGCCCTAAATTCTAAACCCTTAACTCGAAACCTAAGCCCGAGGCCTTAACCTTTGTTCCTAAACCCTACACCCTAACCACAAACCCTAAGCCCTTGTTCCCAAACCTTACACCCTAAACCACAAACCCTATAAACCCTATAAACCTAAACCCCGAACCGTAAGCTAAACCCTGAAGCCTAAAACCCTGGACCTTGTCGCGGTGGGCAGGCTCAGGACCCCTCAGGGGGGAAGCGAAGAGGTTCCCAGCAAAGGAAGCAGAAAACAGAAAGCAACTACACAAACAAACGAAAGCAAAAGCCGGAAAGCATTTGGCGCCCATACATTCGCTTGTGCCCGAGGCAGCTCCTGAGGGGTGCCAACATCGTTTTCGCGGGGGCCTTGGTGGGGGTTAGACTTGGCAGTTGGCAGGGTCTTGTGTCATGGGGTTTTATAGCTGGTATGGCAAGCAGCTCCACATAGGCCTCATTTGGTATTTGCCAAATCCAACGTCCCCTCTCGGGACGAGGCAGCCATCTTTGCGGTGACCTGCCTGGGTCGCCGGCTGTACTGTTTCCATTACATCGGCTTGGTGTTCTGTGTGGCCGGCCTCTTCTTGGTGGGCCGGGTGCTTGGCGCACCCTGCGCACCAGTCTGGGATCTGTTTGAACCTGTGGGCAAGGACTGGCAAGCGTGTGGGGCCATGATCTGCAGGCAGTGCCATTGGAAGAGCTCGAAATTGCTACATCTTTCCAAGGTAATGAAGTCACTGGGCAAGTCACTGGGCAGATGCTTGCAGCACTGTGATGCTGTCACGGTCAGGCCGCTGCCGAGGGCAAGGGCTCCGGCAACGTTCAGCTGCTGATGCTCGGGATCTGCCTGGGCCTTCGTTCATTGCGGTGCTGGCTATTCTGAGCCAACTCTGCTCCACACTCTTTGGAATGAGGCTTGGCACTGGCTGGACAGGTGTTCCAAGCTGCGCAGGCAGTGGCTGAGGAGTGGCTTCTACGGGACCGCCGGTATGCATCGGTGCTGGCTTCCGCGTCCTTTGCATCTCTCCTGATTGCTGTGTGCCGCGTGCGCAAGGACGTTGATCTGCCGGGTCTGCAAGTGGTTGGCTTCCAGGGTGCTTGGGGCTTTCTTGCCATGCTGCTTGGATCTATTGAATTTACGCAACCGGTGCTGGGGTACAGAAGATCTTTTCTGCCTCCGCCGAGGCTCTTCTTTGTCTTCCCAATGCTTTACCTGCTGCCAGGGTCCGCACCACCCTATATCTGCTGTGGCACAGGGTGTTACGAAAGTGAGTGCTGAAGGCAAGACCATGGGCACGCGGAAGATGAGGTCAATGCTTTTCAGCTGCTGAGGAAGTGACATGCGTGTACATGCTTGTGATTTGCAACATGTGCATGCTTGTGTAGGCTTCTGTATGCAAAGGGTGTAGTAAAACTTCGCTGAAGCGGAGTCGCAGCAGGAGCAATCCAACCCTATCCGCAATGATGGGCTTGTACATCTTTTCCGTTGTGGGGGGCCCTAGAGTGCTTTGGACCCGCTTCATCCCGGCCACTGCTCTCCTAGCCTCCAGCAAAGGTCATGTACAACATCTCTGGAATCGCAGTCACTGGAGCTCTCTCTGCTGTCCATAGACTAATGATAGAGGCGCCATGCTCAGTTCAGTCTTTTGATTTTGGCGTTGTGCGATGTTGTGTGGATCCTGATGGAGCATCAGCTTTGTGTGAAGGGTGTAGCCAGTAATCGTGCTCTGAGGCATTGAGAACCCTGATCGTATGGGCCTTCGGACTGCAGCTTTGCCGCACCGGGGTGGGGGTGTGTCTGCGGCAGAAGAGTTGGAGGAGAAAGAAGATCTTATTCTGGCTTGCAGCCACAAGGAGCATCCACTACCTCGTCGATCACACGTCGGCATTGGGCGAGGTCTGGACGCGGGGTGCCCAGGAACGTTTTGCCAGCATCAGATAGATGTTGTGAGTTACCGCTTTGCAGTAGTACCGCTCGAAGACCTTTTTAGCAGTTTTCAAGGCCCTACAGCTGGTTGGAGGCCCTGACGGACTGTGCGCAGAGTGCGCTTTGTAGCCGGGAATCTGCAAACCATGCCATCGCTTTAGGTGGCTGGCTTCCTCGTGCTGATGATGGGCCAGGCAATCTATGGTGCACTGATCAAGGCCACCGTGAAGGAAGCAACGGGAAATCAACTGCATCATTGCTTTTCTCACCAAGATACCTCTGCTCTATTACCCGCCGACAGGGATTGAGGTGGCCAGCTGAATATGATGAGTTTCACGACACACAGCCCCATGTGATTCTCTCTCCCACGATCTTGAGGCATTTTCTGATGAGCACTCTGATCAGTGTGCCTCTAGCTCAGCCATCTTTACTCCTTACCGGGAGCACATCGCTTGCACAAGGAACCTGCGCATCTGATTTCATCGCCAAGGAAGAGGGGACTGGTTCCAACAGAGGAGTTGATGGCATTGCTGTGAGCGCTGATGCTCCCAGCAGAGGGGAGGCCTGAGATCCTCACCTCACGGGTCCAAGTACCTAGTAGTAGAGTAGGTAACCTTGAACCTTTTTGGGATAGTATAATCCCCTTATCATCCCAAAGGTTAACCTTTAATTCCCCCAGGTTACTGGACAATTAGGAGTATGTCCAAGTCGAATGTGAGAAGCAACGCCTCTGCAGGGGTTTGGGTTTAGGTCTTCAGGGTGTTCCAGTGAATGTTCGCCCATTCAAAGGAGCTGGAAGAAAATGAATGGGGTTGGCCAGAAACTCTAACGCAATCTCTTTCCTGCGAGGGTCTTGTTGGGATAAGTTCTTACAAGGAAGTTCCCACAGCAACTTTTTCCTGTGCAGACCAGGTCTGAAGTCGTACTACGCCGATGTAGTGAAGCCAGGAATGACATACTGCACCCCGGTTCACTGGGTTCGGCCGAACCGGCATTGTGTTGACATGCCAATGTGTATGATCACCACAGCCCCACATCAAGCCCTCCGAGTCTACGACTCTCGAAGTTGAGCTTGGAACAGAGAGCCAGGACTCCGTACCTCTGGCCAGGCATGACCGATTTTGCTTCGCAGGACAGCGACACATTGTACAGCTGGGACGTCGGAGAGACTTGAGGTCTTAGGCGCAACCTGAAGTGAAAGCTGCGGGCGCCAGATAGTTTGGTGCTGGACATACAGTAGTGAGTCCTGTGATATGGGGCCTGTGTGAAGGGCTGGCCGTGGCTGGTCCGTTTTCTTGTTACTACCTCACGGTGGGGAATTATCCAGAAATGGCAACTCAAAACTTGATCAAGCTTACAGTGACGACGCCGTCCTTTCAAGAAAGCCTAGAGACAGGATCCAGCACTACGTGCTTCTGCTTGTCAGGAGCCCACGAGACTCAACACAGATTCTTAATCCACTCGATTGAAAGGAAGAGCCACCACCTAAAACCAAACACACCCTAAGTTTCCTAGAGCATTGATCTCGCCGGCCCAAGTTTGTTGGACGTCCCGTCCCTAGCAAATCCTGGCCGATCTGCAAGGAAGAGGCCCATGTGCTTTGCAAGAGAGGAAGGCCACTTGCGGGCACTGGCTTCGTTGTACAGCCTGGCAGCGCCGTTACATTGTTACTGACTGTTTGTGGTAGGAAAATGGAGCTGCAGGCTGCATGCAAGGACAACGCTTGATGCCTTTTCGTGCAGGTCATAACGGGGCCATTGGTCCAGTGTCTCTCGAAGGGGAGCATCCGACAGGGCCGACATGTAGTGTTTCCAGCACCTGCATTCATATGTACATATATGCTTGTCACATGCTATATATATATATATATATATATATATTAACATATGTATATATATATATATATATACTACATATATATATATGTATATATATATATATACTACATATATATATGCAGCCTTGGAGAATTATTGCACAAGTTTGTTCCTTTCTTATCCAGGAGCCTACGATGGTTGTGTAGGGTGGGAGTGCAAAGAAGTCCAAACAAGCCGCAAGTCTTCACCCGAAAAGCAATGTAATGTTGAATCCTGATGAGTCAGTGTGACCCTTCGGGTGCACTGCTGGGCTCCTCGGCTTTCTCAAAACTTAAGCCCAACACTGGTGACATTCTTGTTGGCTTCCGACGCAACCCCCCAAACCTGAAACCCCTAATGAAACCAAACTAAACCCTACAGAGAGCCCCAAGACCTGCGGCCTCGTTTTTGTGAACTCTCCCAGAGACCCTCACAAGCCTATTCCCCTAAGGGTCCATGCACCTCTCGGAACCCCTTCAAGGCCACAAGTATATGCTGCATGGGTACATGGACCCTTTGAGAAATCCTTCACAAGCAGATCCCGCTGTGAGGCAGAGTAGTTGCGCCGAGCCCTAGCGCAGACACTGCGGGCTGTATCACTTACCCCCCCCCCCCCCTGAAACCCTGATACCTTGAAACGCAACGCACACAGCATACGTAGGGTTTGCGGTTTGGGGTTTAGGGTCATTTTCTAGCTGCCATCGGCTTTTGTGCAGTGCGGAAGTGACAACAAGTATACCCTTACAGTAAACCCCAAACAGTCACCCTTTAACTATTTTACCCTAAACCCTATACTCAGCTGCGTTTAGGGGTTGAGGCTCACCCAAGCCTGGAGGGTCGCTGTGAGACCGCAAAACTTACTTCGTTGTAGGTCGTCTACGAATCCTACAGTGTGGGGTTAGGGATTCATGGTACTAACCTCCCGAAGAAGTGATTGTGGGAGTTCTTCCTCGTTCCACCGGCCAGGTGGAGTGCAGCGCACGTGCTAGTTCTAAACGCTGCTTGAGCAGAAACACCTAATCCCTGAACCCTACAATCCCCAATAACCCCTAAACTGAATGCAGAGGCGTCTACACCCTCAACCCTGAACCCTAAACCCTGAACCCTAAACCTTAAACCTTAAGCCTTAAACCCTAAACCCTAAACCCCTCAACCCAAAGCAGAGGCATCTCAAGATCTTGGAGCAGCTTGTTCGGCACGGCGCCCCTCGCCCTCGGCGCTAGATCCGGAGAAGCGCGCGCCTTCGCACGTCGCAGCTTGGGCGGTCTCAGATGCGTTTGGGGGTTTAAGGTTTAGAGGGTTTAGTCAACCGTAAACCCTAAATCCTATAAGCCCTAAGCATTCGGGAGGGGGTGGGGGGAGAGTTAGGGTTTAGGTCTTATCGGGCTTCTCTATGCAGGGCTTTAGGCGTGTGAGGCGCTGAGGACACATACGCTCCTCTTCGGTTGTAGAGCACAGCAACGAGGACACCTGGACTCCGGTTTCTGGGAAACCTTCGGGCTCAGGGCTCGCTACATGAATACGGTTTAGTTCTTCGGACCTGAGGGTGCTCAAGTTGCTCGGGTCTTTTGCGCGCAATAGGGCTCCACATCTCCTACGCAATGCCCGAGCCAGCTAAAGGCCTGTCAGGCCCTTTTGGGGCACTATTCCTGCATAGGTTTGCTGCTTTAGGGTCATCCTCCCTCCCTCCCCCAAGAGAAGCCCTGAACCCTGAACCTGCAAATCGGGATCAAAGAAACACAAACCCTCCAACCCAAAACGCTACACTGAAACTCTGAACCCTTAACTTTATATCCCAAACCCGGAACCCGAGACCCCGAGCCAAGGCAGCAGGCCTCGCCAGCGGACCCTTGTGGAAACAGCGGCTCGGCACGCCAAAGGCCGCAGCCTCGAATTAAAAAACCCCTTAAACCTATTTAGGGTTTAGGGTCGAGGGTCTCGAGTTTGGGCTTAAACCCGAACCCTCACATGGCCCCAATGAGGGTTGGATAGTGGTGTCGAAGGGGGTTTCGGAGGGTCAATACCCTAAACCCTAAACCCTAAACCCTAAACCCTAAACCCTAAACCCTAAACCCTAAACCCTAAACCCTAGGCAAGTGGCGGATCGGCCATTTGCCCTCCAGCACCTCGGGTAGCCAAGGTCCAACGGAGGCCAAACTATACTTGAAGGTTCATGGGTAGCTATGAGTAGGGTTATAGGTACCCTAAACCCTAAACCCTAAACCCTAAACCCTAAACCCTAAACCCTAAACCCTAAACCCTAAACCCTAAACCCTAAACCCTAAACCCTAAACCCTAAACCCTAAACCCTAAACCCTAAACCATAAAACCTAAACCATAAACCCTAAACCCTAAACCCTAAACCCTAAACCCTAAACCCTAAACCCTAAACCCTAAACCCTAAACCCTAAACCCTAAACCCTAAACCCTAAACCCTAAACCCTAAACCCTAAACCCTAAACCCTAAACTAAATAGGGCTACAGCGGCTACAAGTAGCCTGAGAACCTTCACAAGCCTTAGGAGCTCCTTTACAACCCCGGCATCTGAATCTCAAGACTCACGCTTGGCATCGAAGAAGTCCGACAACACCGTTCAGACCCAAAGGCTAAGCCCCAAAAAGTACAAACCGCAAGGACCAGAACAGACAGAGTCGTCCCAGACGCAAGTTCAGAGGGCTACGTATGGTACACGCGGGGGGGGGGGGGGGTTATATCGTTTTCGAAGAGGCCGCCCAACGATGCCCCTGCACGTCCAGTTTGCCACCCTCGTACCTTAGTCCATATACCAGGTTCATTTTGTGGTCGCAGTTGGCAAGAAGAATCTGTTTTTGTATAACTTGCGCCATGAAAAATGTTGCTTCTGGTGGCATGGGATCGAACCTGATATAACCCCACCGTTGCCCCTGAAACCCAGTCCTGCATTCCCTGAGAAGACTTTTCAAGTGCAAAGTGCTTGCTTCATTATGACGAGAAGGACTGAGCCCAAAAGGGAAGCTAGACAGATTTCGATTTGTTCTAAGATTTAGGGTCAACACTGCTTGCTGCTCGGTAGAGCCACAAGTAATAGATGGCAAGACTGAATTGAAACAAGGGCCTCAAAAGTCAGCGCATGGCATCGTGAGTATCACCTGCTTTCTTTGGCTTGCTTCGAAGCCATGGTCACAGTCCACGTGTCCCTGCTAAGCGGCAGGGAAGTCTCTTTGGAAGCAGACCCGGAGGAATCGCTGACCGTACTCAGGGAACGTGCTGAGAAGAGGCTTTCAGTCAAAGAAGGCCGGCTCCTGGACTCCTCTGGCATGGTGCTGGAGGGCTCCCAAAGCATCAAGAAGTCCAAGCTGGAGAATGGGGCCACCTTGACACTGGTGAGGCGGCCCGTCAAGGTGTCCATGAGCCTTAACCGTATTGCTGTCATCCGGTGCGACGGCTCCGTTGTGACACTGCTGAGCAGCCTGCGGCACGGCTGGGTCAATGTTGGCGACGGTAGCTTCGCGACAGACCAGCTATCTGACGTGGTGGAGGTTCACGCCGGCTGCAAAGGATATGCTGCGCTCAAGGGTGATGGGTCTGTCGTGTTTCGGGGGGCACATCCACCAGTTTGTTACGAGAACATTCGCATGGTCCAGACAACGACAACGGACTATGATTCAGGTCCTGGTTTCGCTGCCATTGTGAAGGACGGATCGGTTGTGACCTGGCCCATTCAGCCCGACGAGACTCAGCAAGAGGAGCTCAGGAACATATCGCAAGTCCAAGATTCTGCGCAAGGGTTCCTTGCGATCCGGCGTGATGGAAGGGTTGTGCCGATTGGGTGGGATGTTGAGGACAGAGCTGCTGTGCCGGGCCATCTGCAGAACGTGAGCACGTACAGGTCACCAGCACTGGACAACCTGAGAGAGTGGCATTTGCTGCCCTCCTCGGCGATGGAAGCGTCGTGACCTGGGGCGCTGGCCACGATGGAGGCGACAGCAGCGCTGTGAGCGAGCAGCTCACCAACGTGTTACAAATCCAAAGCACAACTTCTGCTTTTGCTGCCATCCGTGAGGACAGATCCGTGGTGACTTGGGGCGACGCTTCTTCTGGTGGTGACAGCAGCTCGGTGCAAGAAAAGCTGAAGAACGTCAAGCAGATTCAGGCTACGTATGGTAGCTTCGCTGCCATTTTGGACGACGGCTCCGTCGTGACCTGGGGCGGTGCTGGGAGTGGTGGCGATAGCAGCTCCGTGAAGGACCAGCTGCAAAACGTGCAACAGATCCAAGCGACAAATGAAGCTTTCGCCGCAATCAAGATCGATGGCTCTGTTGTGACTTGGGGTGCAGCTTGGGCTGGCGGAGATAGCAGCACGGTGCAGGAGCAACTGACGCAGGTCGAGCACATCCAAGCGACGGCTCAAGCCTTCGCTGCAATCCGAAAGGATCATTGTGTCGTTACCTGGGGAGATGCGGGGTACGGTGGTGATAGCAGCCACGTGCAGCATCAACTGAAGCATGTGCAGCACATACAAACATCTGGCCTCGACTTCGCAGCAATCCTGGCCGAGGGCTCTGTCGTGACTTGGGGCAACAATGCCTCAGCGTACATCCCGGCAACTTCCCCGTGAAGCAGCCCAAATACGCAGCCAGCTTTGCGCGAGATCGCTAAGTTCAAAGAACCAAAAAAGCTTCGGATTTTGGGTCGGGGGGGGGGGGGGGTTCGTTTTGCGAAGTCCTAACCCCTAACATCTGGAGGATAGGATTTAGATGGGTTTGCCACAAGCCGGATTTGCCTTTGGCGAAGCCCCGAACTCCCAAGTTGGGAGAGTTGCAAGGACCCCTGCTGTTTCCATAAAGCAAGTGCCCTGGCACAACCTCGGCAGCGCACGGTGTGCGCTAATCATCAACTCTTGTGCTGAGTGCGGAGATCTTGTTAGCAGCAGCTTATCGGATTCAGGGCTCCGAACTTCTTGCTTTCCAGTGTTAGGGAACCACGACAAAACCGGAGGCAAACCCAAACCCAAACCCAAGATCTAATTGCTTAACTTTACGAACCGAAGGGTTGAGGCCTCTTAGGGTATAGGTTTGGGAAGGGGGGGAGGGGAGCCTGAAACGAAGTCCAAGTGGAAGCCACATAGCCGGGAGCTTGAACCCATTGTTTTGGGAATCGGGGGGGCCCGTCTCAATGCTGTCAATGTTAACGCACACTTATAGGGAGAGCTTCGTGATTTTGGTAGTATTCTTGACAAAATCTGGGGGCTTCAAGCGTCTTCTGCCGCACTGTGCACGGGCTGTGTCGAGCAGCCGATGGAGCCGAGGCGGAACTGCCTGCAGCTGAGGATCCATTTTCGCCTCGACCCCAGGACAACAGCCCCAGCTTCAGAGCTTCCTTGTAACTTGTAAGTGGAACTTATACGCCCCAAGCCCGAAGCTCCTCCGCGCGGTCCCATTGCCTGGCATTTGTTTAGTTCCAGGCTTGCCAAGCCCTATGATGAATCGGGATCCTGTGCCCCCAAGCCCTAAACCCTAAACCCTAAACCCTAAGCCACACGGCTACGTCACCGGGCAGCATCGCCAAGAGCCGCTTCCCCGCGTGTTCTCTCCACCTCCCACGCGGCAGGATATGCTTAGTGTTTGGGCTTTAAGGGTTTGGGGTTTAGGGTTTCGGGCTTCTAGAGCGTAAAACCCTAACACCTCAACTCCCTCAACCCCTAAACCCGAAGGCCGAGACATTTTCAGGTGAAAAGGTCTTCCTAGACCTCCCACCTGAGGCACTTTCTTCTCTTCTTGTGGAGGTCTTAGGCTCCCTGAACCTACGACCCCCCTTATCACAAAAAGGGGGGATCCCAGCTTTGGCTTCAGGGTCTAGGGACTTGAGGTTTATGCGTTTTGGTAGGGCCGCCGGGTCCATGCAAGTTTTTATTACTTGAGGCATTCAGCTGTGCATCTATGGACCTTGCACGATAAAGCCTGAAACCCTGCGAGTTCTAACCCTGGACCCAGGCAAAACATTCACTTGGAGCCCGCAATGCCCACAAAGGCCCGAGGAGATGTGCCCGATGAGTAGGGCGCCACGCCGCTCCTCTGCGCGGCCAGGCGCGGCGAGACATTGAGGATGTTAGGGTTTAACCAACCTTCTGCATTCTTTATCCTTTAGAAGTAAATTATACAGAGTGCCTGGGAAGAGTGACTTCTAAGGATTCCCAGCCCCGAGCCCTAAACCCTAAACCCTAAGCCCTAAGCCCTAAACCCCCAAACCCTAAAGCCCCAAACCCATCAGCCTTGCCTCAGCGTTGCTTCCACCTCCAACACTGCGAGTGGACAGCAGGGACCGCAGGGACCTTCTGTTTAGGGTTTAGGGTTTAGGGTTTAGGGTTTAGGGTTTGGGGGTTTGGGGGTTTAGGGGTTTAGGGGTTTAGGGTTTAAGGGAGATCTGGATGTAAAAGTGAAGGCCGCAAGGGTGAAGCTCTGACTGGTAGGAAGAGGTGAGATGAGAGATTTCACTGTTAGGCCCTCGGCTGAAGCCGTGTTTTCTTAAACCCTGAAACATAGCCTGGTTGCCTGTGGGAAGGTTCTACGATTCCATGTATAGACACACCGAAGCTTCAATAGGTTGCGATCCCTTGCTTTGCAGGTTGATCCCGTTGGGAAACGAGGAAGAAGCAAGGGTTCGTTGGGCTTTGGGGTTTAGAGGGCTTGCGGTCTAGGCTGTAGGGTTGCTTTAGGGGTTCGAGTTCAGGGTTTGTGGTGTAGGCTTTAGGGTTCTGGGAGTATAAAGCTTGGACGGTACACTGTGGAAACACTAAGCCTCACCAGGGGACATGGGGTTTGGGGCCTTGGGATGTTTGCAAGGCTTGGGCGGGTTAAAGGGTGCCTTACGCATCCATGTGCCCACATAGTATATCTGGGCACATCAGTCACGACATATAAGCCCTACACCCTAAATCCTAAAACCTGCAACCGTTTTGGAAGCCCAGGCATACGCAACGTAGGCACACAAAGCCCTGTAAAGACCACAAAGCCCGATAAAACCTCCTCAAAAGAGACGCAGGCCCGGAGACCCCGGGAACATCCGAGCATCGGGGCCAAGCACAGCCGCTGCAGCCCCCCGGCCTGTTACTTACTGTTGTTAGTGGGGAATGGGGGAATATGGTACCATATATCCCCAAAACCGCTTCAGGGAGTATATTTGGTACCTTATGCCCCCATTCCCTACTAAGCAACAGTAAGGCTACTTCCTGTGATCTAAGTGGAACTTACTTGGAGGTCTTATGAGTAGGGTTACAAGTGCCCTAAGTAAGGTTATAAGTATAGGCGGCCTGTTGCGGTCTTGAGGGGGATGTTAAGGTTTAGGGCTTTAAGGTTGCTACCCTTAAGCCCTAAACCCTATGCCCTAAACCCTATACCCTACCCCGCATTCCATACAGACAAACCCTCAACCTGCGGACCCAAGCTCTCAAGCGCTGAACCCTCAAAGCCTTTAAAGCCTTGCCCACGAACTGAACTCCCCCAACCCCTCCCCAAACCCCCCCCCCCCCCCCCCCACCACATAGTGAAAGTTTCGAAACTCTTAAGTTCGACCGCCTCCGCCAGGAAGCTGCGCGTATTCCAGCTCCCGGCAGCATGCCCAGCCCATTCTTGCTAGGGCTCGGGCAGCGCAGCAGGTTTTTTGTGATTTTTGGTCGTGGCTTCCCTCGCGGGACCACGTTGATGGAAGAGTCTAAACCAGGAGGTTCCTTTGTTGAAGGGTGCCCTGTGATTGCGAGTCTGCACTACACTGCACCGCAGTCAACTGAACATGGTGACCTTTAAGCCTCAGTCCCAGAGCCCCAAGACCCCTAAACCTCACCCCCCGAGCCCCTACTTAGAGGTTCAGGGTAATTATTAATTGGTTCCCACTTCTAACTCCCTGAAGCGCCCTAATAAGTACCACCAACCTTCAAGTACTGCCTAAACTTAAACCCTACGCTGAAGCTTCTTTTCTGCAGAGGGCGTGCATTGCCTTCTTGCCAAAGGGATCTGAAGCTCCTCAAGCAGCTGGGTTTATGTTTTAGGGTTTAGGGTTTAGGGTTTAGGGTTTGGGGTTGAAAGCCTGAATGGTCGTCCTTCCCTGGTTTCGGGTTTAGGGCTTTGGGCCTGCCCAAAACCCTAAACCCCAAACCCCAAACCCAAAACCCTCACTTGTCCCACGTCTCGCTCCACCCAAGGGTGCGGCCGGAGTCGTCTACATAAAAAAGATGCCGGCACCTTACTGCTGGGTTAGGGTTTAGGGTTTAGGGTTTAGGGTTTAGGGTTTAGGGTTTAGGGTTTAGGGTTTAGGGTTGGTTATCTGGAGTAGGGAATCTTTTAGAGTATCGGATTTGGGGCTAGGGCTTTTCCTTACGCCAGTCCCCTCTACTTTACTGCAAGGGTCACCTCCAAGCATGCGGCCAGCATTCCAGGCAGATTTCCGTTCTTCAGGCAGCGGCCACCTGCCGTACACAACTTGTTTGTGATATAGAATTTTGCATCTATGTATGCATATATATATATACACATATATACATATACAGATAGTATGCATGTGTATATATATATATATATATGTGTGTGTACATATACATATATGAGCCCGCCGCCTTTAGGGTCTATTTAGCTTTGGGTTTTTCTTATTGCTTAAAAAGAGCGAATATAAATATTGTAATACAAAAATACATATTTACACCTACATATGGCACGCAAATCTCATGCCCAGCGGTTCTAGGCCTAGCCGCACGCCATTACGAACTGCGAATTTCTGGTTGTTCTTATTTTCATTTGTTTCTCTTTGCTATCTGTGTATGCGTGTTCTTTTTTCAGCCTGCGTGAAAAAGTCGCTGTTTGGCTGCGGCAGAAGGGAAAGAGAAGTGAGAGAGGAGAGACAACAAGGAGGCCATTTTAATTTTCTGGAAGGGTATTGATTGAAAAGAAGAGAAGAGACAAGAAAC